AAGAAGCCATAGGAACTAAAGCGTCTCAAACGAACGATTGAGCGAGGGTGTTCTGTGCACTTTACTTGGGTAAACTGTGACAAGTAAGTGCAACTCAAACATTGCCGGTAAGCATTAGTGCACTTAAGAAGTCTTTCAAACAGTTCAGAGCACTCGACTTATTCATTAAACAACTATGACTCACAGAGTAAGACACAGCAAATCTGAAATTCCCCAAATGAAAAAGGAAGAGGTAGCAGGATGCGACTTCAGCGAAGACGTGCCCGGAACTGGCAGCAGGTCTCCGTCTCAGCTGCTCACGAACTATGTTTGAATTAGCGGATTATCAAAGAGCAATAGGAGGATTAGATCACCCCCGCTGGAGGACCGAACTAACATTCGTGAGAGCTCCAATTAAGCACTTCCAGGCTTATTTTATTTGTATAGGGATACAGGGTGGTTTAAAGAGAATGCTACGCTAATTTCAAGCGTATAAGGCGCGGGGGATTTTTTCTAAAATCGATCAGCCCAGACAAGCCAAAGGACTTTACAACCACCCTATAACGTGCTGTATATTGCTTGAGAGAATCGTGCAATGTAAGGATTTCTTTCCGGAATACAGTGAAGCGGCTGAGCGGAAAATTCGGAAAAGTGCGCCTTATACGCGTGAAATTAGGGTACATCCTTCTAAAGGAAAGGAGAGCGTTTTTCTATAATGAAACCAACAAATCACTCCAAATAGGAGAGAGAATTTTTTTTCTTGTTCGTCGAACAACTTACCATTTACTTTGAGGCTAGGTATCCAACACATGAAAAAGAACGTGAACGGTTAATTCTTGTGTTCTACCTCTTGTCTGTTACCTGGGATGATTTGCTCCATTTTTGAGCACACGATAAGCAGTCTCACGCTTCTAACTCAAGAATGAATGAAAAATTTTGCATGGTCTCCACATTTTGCATTGACTACCAGTCTTCCCTATAGGATGTTTCCTTCTCCTTATTCTTCTCTCAGGCGCTCACACTTACCACAATTTATATTGCGCGCGTCGGAACCCTCCAACTCGACTCTGTGCATAGCTGATCTATCTATTATCGGCTCCCAGAACGTGTGAAGGCAGGTTGCGGATTTCCCTGATTTTCAGGATAAATTTGTTGCTCTATAACTTCACGTTACAGCACTGCATTTCGTCTCTCGTCAGGCTTATCCACAAAATAAAGGAAGTCCTCATCCTTTCTGCACATGAATCTCGGAGCCGATCATAATTTGATGTTGTGTTTCTAGACTTCTAACAACGTTTGTGGTAAAAATTAGCTAAGGAGTGCAAAACTATGAACCTGAGCTAAACAGTCATTTTTTCGCGCAGATACTCTTACCGAAATAGCAATAGTATCAACGAACAAATGAACAAGATACAGTGTTTTTTGTTTTTTTTTCATCAAAAGCACTGCAAGAAAAACCTAATAGTGGCATTGAGTCAGTGTAAATCAAGTCTTTGCACTTCACAAAGTAGAAAACTTACTCAAGTACTTCGCTGCTTTCTCGCACCTTTTTCTGACCCCAAAAAGCGGGCTTATTTACATAGAGCCTAGAATTGCTCAGTTTGCACACTGAGACAAAACCTGATAATCTTTCAAACCGTGCAAAGTCTTCACAAAGTGAGTTTTGCCAAAACGATCCATATAAAGACATGTTATCAACTATCAATAACTCCATTCCTCTTGGTTTTCCATTTTCCTTATTTGAGAGTTACCAAACTTCCTCTTTTAGTCAGTCAAGGCATATCAAAGCTTCTGTTGCTTTGAATTTTTTTGGCAATCGGACACTCAAATTCCTAAATATTTGTGATGCATGGTTTGTGTTTTTCGCTAGCGATTGTTCTCTCTGTCTGCGTATAAATCCATGGTAGAAAGTATTTAGTCAAAAATGCAATCGCAACACAGTGTTCTGAATTCTTTCTTTTTATTAGATGCACCATGAGTGCATTGAAAATAAATAAATAAATAAATAAATAGCAGTGCGGGGCTACTTCAGAAGTGCTCAATTGCGACGACGAAGAAAGCTCATTCTATAATAGAGTAGCAGTCCTCCCAGTATCGGAATAGCTGACAACCCCACAATTCGCAGAGCGGTAGTCGACAAGAAATTTCTGATAATAATCAACTGTACTCACTGATGCACAAAATAGCAGAGCATACAAATCAGCAGCTTTCTGATCAAAAAGTACTAGAATAATCCCATATTCTGAGAGTGAGAACCGAAGGCGAATAACTAGATTGTGCCGTATTCGCAATCAGTAACTTCAAAAGATCTTACTTTCGATCTCTGTCATCTCATACAGTACCTTCAAGAGAGTATCGCAAACGGGAACGACTGACAAGGGAAGGAAGGTTGGTCGAAGCGGCCTTTCTAGAGATGGCATGTCTTATAGAGAGTGGAACGCTGATTCCAAGTCTACCTTTGCCATCTGCTAAAGGCTTGTGAACGAGTTACGATTTTCTTGTGAGTAAAAGCTTACGCGCAAAATTGATATAAAATCATCCTAACCTTTTCCTAACATTCAAATAAGGCAGCAGCGAGTTGGCATATTTGAATCAACAATATTCATTGCACCCGAGCGACCCGAATGTCAGTTGAGCTCTAGGAAAGTGTTACGACTAATTTTACACTATTTTGCATTTAACTTACAAAAACCTTCATAACTCCTCGCTCAGAATCTTATAGCAGATAGCGAAGGCAGATTTGAAATCGGCGTTCCAAGCACAAGACAGTGTACATCACAATTTAGAAAGCCGCTTCGATCGACCATCCTTCGCTCGTGGAGGTTCGAAAACCACCCGCTTTTCTTAGTTTTCTGAAGTTCACATGCATAACGATGTCATTTTCATTCCATCTGACGTCTATGAGGATGATGTAGGGTACGATTTTCAGTCTATCTACAAGAAAGGCAGAGAAATTCTCCATTAGGGTCACCAGTGGCGGTCTCAGAAACGTCTGGGGCGGAAGAGGGGTGGGGGAGGGCAAGAAATGTGACAATCTCCCTAAATGAGCGGACTCTGCATAAATCAAGTTAGTCAGATACCTTGGATTTCTGCGTAACATAGAACAGATTCCCAGGGAGTAAAATTCTAAAATTTTGGAAAAGCGGGTAAGCGGTAGGTTGATAACATTTGCATTCTTACGGTGTACGGTACTTTTTACGGTACGGCACTTGAGGAAAACTCAGAGAAACGGCCGAAATCATTTGCAAAATTTCTTGATCCAAGTTGGCGCAAAGTTCTAGCGCAATTCAAACAGAATTCAGTTTTTAAAGAGTATACTTAAATTAATGTTTCAGTATCTCAAAACTAGAGAAAGATTTGCGCTTCATATTAGATGTTCAAATTAAACATTTTGTAAGTTAGCCAAAAAGAATGAAGCTTTCAAAACTGCCGATTCAAATTTTACAATTTTTAGTTTGGTGCTATAAAATCGCGGAGGGCCGCTAGCAGGCCAAAAAAACCTGTAAAATATCCTTATATACTAGGAGTCCCTGTGTTACTGCAGTAGGCTTTAATCTCGTATGAAAGTGCAAAAACAAAAAATTCTTGAAAATGTCATCTTACACAAAACATCCCCTTATCGTTAAAGTTTCTTCACAAAAAAAAACAGTTTGGAACTAGAAATTAGACCTGGTGCCTTATTAGAACACTGCGGCGTTTTTCGGATCGTCAAGCAGTGTTTTTGCTGGAAAAGGTGCTGTTATTAGAGGACTTTAGAGGACTTTCCTAAGAATGACTTTATTCATAAATTTTTTGCTTTCGACTTACCATAGAAGATTGAAGCCTGCTACAGTACCACATGGAATTTTGGTATACAAGGACATTTTGATTTTTTTGGGCTAGCCAGCGTTCTCCGCGATTTTCTAGCACCAAACTCAAAGCTACAGAGTTGAAATCGGCATTTCTGAAAGCTTCGTTCTCGTTGGCTAACTTGTAAAATGTAAAGCTGAACATCTGTTATGGAGCGCAAGGCTTTATTTCTGAAATACTAAAACATCAATTTAGGTCCACTCTTTGAAAATCAAATTTTGTCTGAATTGCGCAAGAACTTTCGCGTTAAATTAATATTATCTACTTAATTTGCACTAATTCTTTCCTTCATACGCCACTATCTATTACTTAGTCTGCCATCCCTTCTCATAAACTCAGAAAGATCAGTTTAAAACCTGTTCATATAGAACATCCTGGCGAAAACGAATTCAAAGTCTGTCCCACGACATTCACCCAGCCATGAGCTGTCAAGGGTAATCAGCACAGTATTCAGAACTCGGTCTATGGCATTCCATGCCTCGTCTCCAAAAGGGGATAACTCTCAAGAGAGTCTATGGAGACAACGCGATGACTATGAAACACGAACTTGGTGAAAATCAAGTCGATACCGATAATGCCCATGTAAAATGAGAACGGAAACATTGGACTACTCAGACAATCACAGGCTCTCAGCGGGCCCCACCAAAAGCGTCGTTGCCTTATCGCAGCCACTGTCGCTTCCCGCTGAGAGCTTTGTCGGAGTTTTGTCGGAGCTTGTCGGAGCGGGCTCGCTGCCCGCTGAGCCCGCTCCGACAAGCTCCGACAAAACTCCGACAAAGCTCTCAGCGGGAAGCGACAGTGAGGCGATGAGGCCACCGCGCTTTTGGTGGGTCTAGGCGGTGGCTTTGTGGCTGCCGGCTGAGAGCATTTGATTGTCTGAGTATTTGAGCTTGCTTTTCCCGAACTACCTACATTGACAGGTTTTGGAAAAGATTTTGTAGAGTCAATGTCAACGGTGAAAAATTATATTCACTATAAAGACTGTTTGATGTTTTTGTCCCATAAGATTAAGCATTTGAAGTCTGGGGCATTGAAAAGTCAGGAAGGCTCTTTGCGCTCGACTACAGACTGGGGATCGGAGAACATTCTTATTACTTCTCACATATGCTAAAAACATAATGCTAAAGAAGTGCAGCTGTGACATGATTTTGACTCCAAAATATTTTATTAGGCCTTAGGAATGTTGAACTTGGAATGTGACAATCTATCAGTAAGTCAAGACCTTACGTTCAAGCTAATCGATGCATACCATTAAATTTAGGAACATTGCACAATGCTAGTCATCATCAAAATATTCGCCTCACATAAATAACTACTCTATAATCTATCTAAAAATGCTATGTACACTGCACATTTCGCTACCAGAACGGGCACCATCCGATATAGCACTGGCAGAGATTTTCGTGTAATGTTGCTTGTTCGACGAGTCGGTCAATTTGTTCCTGCACGCCTACCTCACCATTGCCAAACTCGCTTCCTGAAAGACACCGAGCATAATAATAAGAATAAAGCCCTCTTAGATATCTTGCTTACCTGCCAACTTGTGTTTGATGCGATCGATGACTCGTTCTCTGACAATTCGAGGGGCTTCTTGGAGAGTTTTCCTTCTAGTGACGTCATGCTTTTCGCCAGGAACACGTTTCGTGCCTAAAGTGTGGCACGGTACCCAATTCTTCCGAAATGACTAACATATGCCACTTGAAAGAGTAAGGTTACAAAGAGATGTCAAGGTTCTTCACGGTATTTTTGTAAGATTCACAAAAAAGCTTTTTTCGATTTACCTTACTCCAAGACGAGGTTTCGTAGATGATATAGACAGTTTACGAAATTCAAACTTGCTCAAGACTCACCTTCGAGCAACCTCCAGCTGATTACAGGGTCATACACGAAGGCTTCCAGAACAGCCAGCAGACTGTCGCGGTTAGCCCGAAGCAGGCGCAGTACTCGCTCGCAAGTGAAGCGATAGTTTCCTTCTATTCCAGTGACGCCCATGGCCTGTGAAAAAAAAAAAAGATCAACGAATTCAAATAATCTCTGCGATTATGGCATGAGAAGAATCGAACATGAAATTTCAAATGACTTCGTGAACAAAGAGAGATCGACAAACTCACCTTCACGAGCATTCGAGTAAGTCGAAATGGAATTTTTTCAGGGAACTTCTCCCTCGTCATAGCCACATCGAAGCAGTCACCAAAGTCAATGTGCACAATTTTACCAGTCAACCGATCCAGCATGAGATTAGAAGGATGTCTGTAAGAAACCAAACTCATGAGATCTTACGCAAAACACTGACGCACCTATCACCCAAACCCAAGATATAGCCAACCATTGACATACAAGCCATTGATCTTGTATAATTTGTGCGACGATCAAACCAAACCTCAGAGCTGAAATGAAAATTTATATGGCTGAACGAAAAGAATATAATCAAGACAACCTACCTAGGACTTTTAAGCCACAGAATATGCTGCAAATCATCTCCCATTGTAGATGCCAGCGCCCTTTCGAACAATTGGACCTGAGACACTCAGTGAAGAGATCATGTAATGTAGAAAATAAGAGTAGAACGCCTAAAGCAGACCTTTTGCATCAAAGTGACTTGCTCAGTGTCTTGCGCTAAGGATTGCATCACTTTGTGCTCAAGTGACAAGGATACCTGAATGTGAGAATTCAAACAGGTCAAAGATAATCGGAACTAACCTTCTTTTTATCTCGATAGTCTCGCACAAGAGAATGCAATGTATCGCAGTCGGGTACCCACCCGATCAAACCCGAATTGTGACTGAGTGCAATGATGGAGTATCTCTAGGAATGTCATTTCTATAGCTGCTGTTATGTAGGCAAACGACTGCAACTTACCTGTATAGTGAGATTCCTTCTGCACGTTTCAGCATTATTCACCAATAACGTGTTGATGAGTCCAAACAACTGCATTACTCGTTCGTCTTGTCGTGGATCCTCATGTCCCTTCAGCAAAAACGCATACTCTCGTCCGTTACTTCCTGAAGTTAAGGAAATACTCAAGTTGTTCATATCACGAGCAAAACAAGCTCTACCTCGTATGGTCATTTTTCTTGGACGCTGCTTACTGCTAATCACTTGTAGATGGGTGCCAATGGATGCGATACCCACGACTGGTTGAGATGGGTCGTAAGTTCCCGGTACAGCAAGCTCGAGATCCTGAAGAGAAATTGTTGTGCTAGACAGCGCTGTAATGGTAGATCTGATTTCTACCTTTGCTCTCATCAATATAGGGCTGATGTAATTCAGATCCAAAGATGTCAACTGTCGCAGCTGAGCAGTGATCTTCTTGAAGACTTGGCAATAGATCTCCCATGCTTGCGTTAATTCCTTCACATTCTCAGTACGTTTGAATGCTTGGCAGAACTTGTAAGCATCAGAAAGTTCGCAATAGTATGTCTGATTGAACGACTGCTCTTTCAGCGTAGTAGGCCCCTTCTCGATCATTTTGTGAACCGGCTCCAAGGTCTCCATCATAGCTACGGTATTTTTCTCTTGGAAGTACTGTCTGCTAGCCTCATCCAATGCATCATGCCATTGTTCGTGCCATAAAATTGCACATCGCACCAACTCCTCCGATACCATGCTAGCCTCCTCAACAAGCTTTGGATGCATTTCAGCCATAACTCCCAGCATTTCTTGCGCATTCTTCTGTCGATCAACATTCGATGACTTTGCTGCGACAGTGAGTGCATAAACTAGAGCTTGTGGTTTCATCTTTGAGATCTCGAGGATAACTTGTTTTATGAGTGATGCCATTTTGTCCTTGGAATCTAGTCTTGCCATAAGTTGCGGCACGGCTTCGAGCCACGTTTCTATGGGTAATCCTTTGATGTTCTCAGTCAGCTGCTTATACACTTCGTTGAACTCTCCATAATCAAACCAAAGCTGAAGAAGGCGCAAAGTATCTTCCAGTCGAGATCCTGAAAAAGACTTATAAGGGAGGGTGACATTATGGATATGGATAAAATGCGCTGACCTGGAGCCAATTGCAAGGCTCTAGTGAAACACTTCACTGCAGAAACTGCATAGGCTATATTTACAGGTACAGCTGGCGGCGGAGGTGTCGCCATAGATGGATTGTGCATGGGCATGGGACTAAGCTGAGGTGGGAGCAGCTGCAGCATTGCTCCTGGTGGAGCACCTGGTGGAGGAGGTGGACCTACAGGCATCAGTGGCACACCTAAAATCAACTTGATTTGATGTTCCAAACGACAACCACAAGCGACGAACCTGTGGTGCTCACTGTCACAGGCAGCATAGCTTGCGGTGGAATTCCCTGCGGAGGCATTGGCGCAGCTTGCACCTGTGCTACTGGAGGCATCAGTCCCATAGGCGGTTGTGGTATCAGTGGCGGTGGAGTTGCATGCATGAGCCGCGTATGAGGTGATCTCACGGCTGCCGCTGCCACAGCTTGCGAAAGCTCCTTTTCGCGAGATAACGCGGAGAAGTACGCCGAGGCCAGTTTGTGCCATGCCTGAGTAGAGTCAGCATACATTACACAAATCCAACAAGTCTTGAAAATTACCTTATGCCAGTCTTTATCGTACTCTGTAGATCTGGCATAGTGTCGTATAACCTGCTCTGTTGCCGTTTGTTCGTCGCTCATCGGTGTGCCGCCAAACAAGGAACGGTGAGGACTGGATAATGTTGCGCTACCGCTGCTGGTAGGCGCACTTTCTGCCAAAATCTCGGTCCATTCGCCAAGTTTGAGACAAGCCTAAAATAAGAAGCTTTTTGCCACATATCGCGCTGTATCATATATGACAGAACCGCAGTAATTGCGTAAAGTGATCTTATATCTCCGTGAACGATAATTTCTCTATTCTCACTGATTCTCACAAAGGATCCGGGAACCAGAAAATCAAAGATGAAAAGTTTGAGTGAACATTCACCTTAGCGCATAGTCGCGCAGCTTCTGGCGTGTGATTCGGCGGCAGTCGATCTAAGTGATTCACCAACGCCTCAAGTGTTCTTACTGCCTCATTACGGTAATCATCCATCCATAGCTGCTTGCATAAAGCTAACACCTAAAGACAAAGTATTTAGAAGACTAGGACATAAACAGCCGGTCCCAAAGGTCATACCAATTGCGGCTTATCACTCGGCGCTACTGCTCTGTGAAGAGGTGCTCCTGGTTCCAAACCTAAGAGATCTCTCAGAACATCTCGACACATTACATTTTTTCCTTGTTTACGGCACAACGAAGAGAATTTCACTCTTAATGGATGCATCTCTTGTGGTGTCAACACCAGTGATCTGAAATGCAGGGAAAAAATTTCAAAAAATCGCGAACGAAAACTGGTCCCTACCTGATCATAAGCAGTCTCTGCCACTGTTCGATGTTCTGACGGCATCCCTGCAGCCGTCTGCTCCATAGTAAAGCAATTCGCGTTTGTCGTTCTGGTCTTAGCTAAATCAATTACAATTAATTATTTTGCCACTTGGCTGCACGAGATGGAGGTTATGGTCCCTCAAAGCGATGCCATCCAAGGCCTGTGTTTAGTAAAAGAAAGATCGTGGTTGAAGAACGCATAGTAAACTGAAGCTGGACCACAGTGACACCACCTTTACCCAGCTGGCAATTCGCATACCTTGAACTCCATTGCTTCTTCCAGCTCAGCCAGTTGTTGGACACACACCATTGCACCGTAGGCCCTCTCATAGCTTTCACTTGCCATCGCCGTAAGTTCACTGTCGTACATATCGCGCACCTAATAAGCTTATGTATGGCGTAGAGCGATAATGTCCACTACTCTCACCTTGTCGATATAGTTCATTGCTACATCGTACTGATCTCTCTTGACAGCTAGAACAGCTCTTAACATAGCACCATCTTGAGTATTTTCGTTCACTTGATTCACATAATCTTCCATCGCTTGCCACTCCCCTGAAAACATCAAAATATGCCAAGGGATTATATGATGTACTGACAAGACATAATGAATGTCGATTATAATCAAATTTTATGTACCTAGCGATAAACGGGCATTTACAATAAGACAGACTTACCAACAGCCCATGCGCCTCGAGCAGCCATTACCGCAACCTTCTGATCCTTCTTCTTTACAGTTCGTGCACGCTCATTTAGTTCGCTCCAACGACCCAAGGCCTCCAAGCACCTCATCTGATGACCAATCATCTCATCTGACAACGGTTCCGGATCCGTCTAAATTGTACAATCACATATATAGGAAAAAGGGACTAGGCCTCGGCAAAGCGTGGCATCAAAAAGCGATACTCACCATGTAAGCTTCTAGAGCTTTCTCCCACTCATTCAGCTTTTCATACCATCTGCCAAGCATCTGAAAGATATAAACTACGCCTCCCTTCCCCACAGTTTCTTGTATATATCACTTACGGGTATAACCATTTCATGCTGTTCGGCATACCGCACGACTCCCGCAGCTTCTTCTTGGACATTGAGCTTATTTGCATATCTGAGAAGATAAAACATAAACTGGGTTTGCAAGAACATGCGACCTACGTGATCAAAGCTTGACAATCTTCCGTGGTCAGACCACCTCCTCCTCTGTTCAAATGCTTGTGAATCTGAAGCTCTTTGTACCGTAGTGCTTTCGCGTACGCTTTCGTATCTTCAGCACTCTTGCCCAACCTATCGTAGGCGATAGGGAGAGGACCCTGAACATAGAGAAGTAGACTTCGTAATTCTTGACCTTTAAAAAAAAGTAAACACACCCTCTCTGAGTGGTCCATGAACTCGGCCAAGTTGAGAATTGTCTGGATGACATCAGGATGATTACTAGTTTCCAACGCCTAGGGTACTGGGATTATACAGTGCGCGCAACTTCATGGTAAAAGAAAGAACTTACGGTTAACAGCGATGCCTTCAATCGGTCTTGATAATCTTCTGTCAACTCCGTCCATACCGACATGAATGCAGCGTTGAAGAGATCTCTGAACATCGAATCTTTCTACATACCCGTTTGAGATGTTGTAACGTACTTAGCAAGATGTTGATGTTGATCGCTCAGTGATGCTGCAGCTCGTATTGCCGCTGAGCTTCCGGACTAAACCTTGATTTACGCATGCATATTTCGTTACGTGTGTTTTCGTAAAGTCACCTTGATGAAAGCTACACGTAGTTTTACCAACCACTGAGCCCATTCCTCCTTGGACACCAGTGAGTCAACAGACCAAGCGCGAACGACGGCCTACAAATTTATATTGAAAACATTCACATGCAACGAAGGAGCAGTACACAAATGCGGATGACAGTGACGACAACTTGCTCACATCGATGTTCAACCGTTGCTTGTTGACAGTCCAAGTGAGCATTTGATCCATATTTTTCGCTGCTGATGGCGTGAAGGTATGTGGAACGTTGATCCTTTCTGGTGGCACTGCTCCAGTACCTCTTCGCTTCCCAGGTCGTTCTGCCGGGTGAAGCATAGCTTGTTGAGCGGTTTCTAAAATAATGTGCGCATTTTTAGGTTGTCAACTGGAAGCACTTACTGATGTATTTCTCGTAAGCTTCTCCAGAATTCAGATTATACTTGCGCAAATTTGCATCAACACCTCTCCGGAACACTTCGAAATGTTTCCACATCTTTGAAGTAACACATTAGATTAGCACAAACTGAGCTCAGGAAGAACAATATCACCTGGTTCACGATCTCAATGAGCAGCTCAAGTAATTGTGGCTGAAGCGCTGGGACAGAGATTGCACATTGCCAGGATTGCATAAGACGAGGAGCATAGTCGGATAGATCATCACTGCGTGTTAGATGCAAAATGGTATCTGCCAAACGATGCAAATACCAAGAAAGAACAGGAGTACAAAAAGTTCACGAATGGAAAAGAATCAGCACCTAAAGCAGACTGTCTCACACTGATGGGCACAGCATTATCATCCAGTATGCTGAGAACCGGAGGAAGAACCAGGGGTAAATGAGGAGTCAAACATCCGGATAGTGATTTTACACAGGATAGAACCTAAATATAGGCTACTAAGATAACCTTTGGCGAAGGGCGATTTTAACATACCTGAGCAGTTAGCTTCCTATCCTCACTATTGTCTGTCTGAACCACGTGCAGCAGGTACGGAATAAGTTCAGCAACATGTGGAGCAAACTCTTGCCCCATAGCTGTTCCGATTTGTTCCAGTACGCTAACGACGGTTACCTTTACACTTTGGTCGTCGCTCCAGGCATCCTAAAGAATATCCTGATAGGTAAGCTAGTTTATGAGTAAATGCTGACTTACAGCAATCAAACTGAAGATTTGTTTCATGTACGGCTTGGCATGTACTTTTATGATAGCAACGAGACTAGCTAGCTGCCGCAAGAAGAATTCTCGATGGGAAGGTCTTCCACGACATGCTCGAGTTACCTCTATCAAACGGGGCACCACCTAAAAACATTGCGATGAATCATAAATCGCTGTCCATATTGTTTGTTGGTTTTAGTGAAAGAGCATATTGTCACGTTAGTCTTTCCAAGCAGGCCATCTTCCTTACAATTCAAATGGAAACGGTAAAGGCTACCTGCTGTACGTACTGCGGGAAAGAATCGCCCAGACTTCGGAAAATTGTCAGCAATGCTTGTGCAATTTCCTTGTAGTACTGTATAAACGCTTCATCTTGAACCTGTACGAGTTTGCACTAATCATTGAATTCCTCAACAAAAAGAGTTATCTTACCATAACCATCAGATTAGCAATAGTTATGGCAGGATAAAATTCCTCCAAAGTGCATTTTTCGTAGTTGTACCACTGGATTATGTCTGCAAACACAACGAATAAGATTTGAAAACTCATGAAGCCATTTAGGATAAATACTGAATAATGGACCTTGACGAGGATCAGCTGCATCTCTTGCCATCGGAAGCGATAGCGCTGTACTAATAGATGTCGCTGATTGCACGGCTCCAGTGAATACCTGAGAATTTTAAGTTCATTATTTGAAAGAAACAAAAGTCCAGAACCTTATGCGTGTACGGATCAAGAGCTCCAAGTATGCCCAAAGTGCTTATAGCCTGTCGTCGCATTTTCGACGACATCTCTGTCTTTAGCAACCTGTGTAGAGATAAATAGCAAGATAGTACTAAGTTCGTGGCCTACCTCAACAAATCATCCAGAAGATTAGGATAATCCTTGTATGGGTCAACGACATATGCTGTGGATCGAGCAATTCGGCCGATAGTGAGCAGTGCGGCCTGAAAAACTTATTTTCGGCGTATGGAAAAGAAGTCGAATGAGAAAGAAAGGCATCTAAGGTTTGGGTCATAGGCAATACCTACGGTAAAGTGTTGTATAGTTCAAAGCCTGACCTCTCTTCTCTGCAAACTACTCGAGTCATTTATCAACTGCGTAAGCTTCTGGAACAACGGATCAATATTGCGAACTATCTCAGCTCCTCCAACGACACAGAGCTCGGATATCGCATGCAAAACATGTACGGTTACATCGACATGCTAAACGGCAGTGCTGAGAGATACGAAAAAAGGTAAACGGGGAGCGCTGACCTTCATTTCATTTCTTAGCTTTGGAAGCAATGCTTGTAGGAGAGGGCCTAAGTATGGTCGCATGAACTTCGGGCTTTGACGAGCTAGTTGTGTCAGAAGACGAGCGCTATGTTGCTCCAACCTTAGGAAAAACATTTGTGCAAGATAGGAAAGAGTGAAGCTAGTCTATCATGCTTACATCATATTTATACTTACTTAGCTTGCCCACTGTTCGTCAGCTGACTCAACGTTTCTAAGAGCACTCTTCGCATTCTTGGCAAGACAAGAGCAGGATTCAGTTCCGATAAGCGACCAAGAAGACAAACCGCAGCCTAAAATCATAATCATGTGATGCAAAAAACAGCAGATATCAACGTTGTATTCATTATCAAGGTAGTCATTTACAAAGCAATGGAAGAATACAAAAACCAACATATCACTTGAGGAATAAAACGTTAGAATACCTCCTGCATTTCCAATTTTTCATCGTGCAAGGTCATGAACTGCAGTTGAAGCATTTCCGGCTGAGCGAGGTGAGACAGAAAAGCACGATCTGCTTCGCAGAAACACTGTAGTACGCACAGACGCACCTCGAGTTCTGCAAAAGAAAGACGCTCTGGCTAAAAGGAAAGAAACGACACAATTCGCTTACGAGGATCGACAACTTCAGCGCTGACCAGACTTCTGAGAACTCCGTGAATCAACGCCAGCACCCACTGCCGATGTTCACGATGGGCAATCTCGTACACCTAAATCTGGCTTTAAAGACATAATTGGTGAAGCTCTAAAAATTTACCTTCACAAATGGTTTTACTATAGCAGCACAACATCGCACAGCAGCAAGTCTTACAGTAACCGAGTCACAGAGCAGATAACCCTGGAGGTACAGGACTTTACGAAGTCGCCTCATATAACATCACCTATACTACCTATTCATCACCTATACTACCTACCTCGGAAATGTACTGCATGAACATCTCCAAGTAATGTCTTTGAAACTCGAACTCTCCAAGAGTGTCTAATGCTAGCACAGTCAACGGGACATTAGAAACCTGAACAAAAGAAAAAGATTCACAGGCAGGAAAAGAATGATAGGATTGATTACCTGGATAGTTTGTGCTGGTAGAACGGGTTTCTTCGGTGGATCCAGTTTGCTCGGAAGTACTTGGCCTAAATAGAACGGATAGGCTCATGTTTGCATTGTACTATGAACTTAGCCTACCAGTCAGAATCATGTACAGCTCCTTCATGAGGCCGTCTTGAACTTCCATCTGCAGGTCAGGGATGTACCTCACCACATGATGCATAACAGAAGTAAGACCTCAAAAATCATTAAAATTACGAGAGAACACTGTTAATGAGAGAAAGATAGTTTAAAGTTTGATCATATCAGATGGTAAATGTAAATTAAGGATAAAAACCCACCTTTCGTGAGATTCGTTTTGAACAAAAGACTCAATAACTGCTTGATTTCATTTCTGACTTTGTCTTTGTATGCCTTCACAAAAAGACTTAGAAAAATGAACACAGAGGGATCGGGAGTTCTCTTCCTGAAATGGAACGAATTACATATCAAGCAAAGTTATGAGTTTAGCGGAACAAACGACAACCTACTTGGACACTGCTATGTTCAGCATTTCAGTCACAACCATCATCATCTGTCCGATGCTACCGCTATAGCGATCAGGATTTTGAAGCATCAATAATCCGATTGCTACCAAAGCATTACTGTTTTTCTGCACGCTGCAACCACAACATGGTTCCATAAGGGATAAATCGTCATCAAGCTTACATATTCTTCGCATGCTCGAACATGACTTTGCACAAGGAAGGATCACACTGCTCCCATGCAGAAAGCCTGGGGAACAATTCAAGAAGGGTTTGATGAACTGGGACCGATCGACCACAGCTAAACGCCGCCTGTTTTGCATGACCGCAAATCTATAAGTAATTGTTCAGCTGACTGGTAACGTTACAGTTGTCCAGATTACCTCAGAGAAGTTCCTTATGACTAGGGCGCGAGCGGTACTGCTCTCCACAGTATGTGCCACTCTAAACACTCATATAAGAATGATTACCGGTGAAAAACGCAAAATACTCTCAACATCTCCGCACCTGGGTTGCGTGAGCCACTCGATCGGCGAAGCAATAGACGTTTCTGTCTGACGAATATCGAGTGCTTCGAGACGACTTCGTTCGAAAGTAGCGTCGGCAATCCGAACGAGTTCATTGAGGACCTAGGACTAGTTATCTTTCAAAGGCGATAAAATATGATGAAGCCGCGTAAAGAGTCGTTTGACTCACCAAAAGCATGGAATGTGTTCGGTCATCCTTGGATAATTCAGTGATCTTCAGCGTGTTCAGAGCCTCTTCGTAACATTTCTAAAACTGCTTTGTTGAAAAACAGCCGCAAATTCACAGTCGTGTATGCCTACCGTGTACCATTCGGTTTTAAGCTTTGCTTCCCTTTGGGAAGTGATGGTGAGAGCTGCATGAAGGGCATTTATGGATGCGACTCGAACTTGTGGCTGGAAATGTCGGGAATTATGCCGGGTAAAAAACCAGAAGAATAATCATACCTTTGGATCCCTGATCACAGTGAAAATGCTCTTGAAAAACACATTAGCCCGAAGGAAAAACGAAGTAGAAGTGAACATTGCAAGCTCTCGTGCCAACAGCACAGAAGCCAAACGTCGTTGCTCATTTCTTGTGGGTTCCTTGAACAAGTATTGCAAACTAGATATGTTAAGATACAGAATTAAATAGTATAAAATTGGATATAAATACAGGAATGACCATTCTGACCTCGAGCCATTCCAAACACTGATCAAGGCATTTCTCCACCAGCTCCGCAGCATAAGATTTGGATGTCTATAAAGTCAAAAATCTGTTCACCATCTTTCGCCATATAAGGCGAAGTATTACAACGTTAATTTATACAGCCTTACTACAAATCCTAACCTGGATAAGAAAAGCAAGCGCTCTAGTAGCCAATTCCATGCCAGCTTCATCCATATTCGGCATAGTGAGAACTTTGAGCAGAAAGTTCGCAAAGCGAACAACTCTGTTCGATTCCCCATCTATGGACGTCTCCGCCAAACACACTTAAAGTTGAGATGAAATTTTTTATGAAGTTCTCTAGATTCTACAGTAAATGACTATTCAGACACCCAAAGGCGCTTTCGACACGACTGTTTTTAGACCTGACACTTCTTTTTTCATGCCTCAACGTTTTGACAAGATTCACAAATTGAAAAACTGAAAAAATTTACCAGTATGCAAGAAAATATTACATAACCAGCAACTTTGCACGTACCTATCAGGAAGATACCAGCTTTCTTCTCATCCAAATCAGGGCTGTATATGCACTCATGAACAGCGCTCTAAGAAAAGTTCTCATTACATTGTAAACTCTGTGTACCAAGAAGTTCACTAGAATACATACCTGTTCGCTCTTGGTATCAAGGAAGGATATGAACTCTTGCATATATTCGGGTGCTTCATCTTTGAGTTCACCAGCCACAAACCTATAATCGCGTTTTTTTTTGAAATATGTCTGATGCAAAAGTTTCATCAGAATCAACATTTTAGTCCGGAAGGTTGAACTGGAGATGCAGCGGAAGCTACTTAGGAGATTCATCATTCATCGTGACGGTATGTGAAAAAACACGTCTTATATTGCCAGATATGTAGCTGAGAGACTCAAAAGCACGCGCAATGGCTCGAAGGCATTGGAGTAACGTCGCAGGACTGTCCTAGTTGATGTCGTACAGTCCATCTCCATCGAGAAGACCCCAATCAATCGGCGTCCGTCTCGCAAGTGCCTCGGTCAAGTAGGGGGGCTTGCTCCAGCACCCCAGGTTAGCTTCATGATTGAAGGTTGGATGCGACTTTGCGCTACGGATGCGTAGAGGCAAGCGAAGGGGACTTTGCAGTTGAGACAGACTATGGCTTTAAACAACTTTCGAGCAAAAAGGCAAGCTCTCCTACAGGAAAGCTCTTCCCAATAGAAAAACGATGGGACTGATAAGGCTTTGGCTCACTTGAACAACTCTTTGGCCGTTTTCACCCTCTTCTCCTCATTCTTTGTCTTCAACCCAACCAAGAACGCTCCCGCTGCTGCTCGCGCATTCGCATCGCGCGCCCTGTCCTTTTCAGAATCCATTTCGTGTGGAGAGCATCTGAAATATTCAGTCTCACCCATAAAAACTTATGGAGAGTTGAACGAAGAAGAAGAGCATGAGTAAACTATGCGCTGCATATGAAAAGAGGACATAGACTCGTTGTTTGTGAGTGGAAAAGTGCTCGCCAAATTCTAGATACATTGGGATTGACATGACTGAGACTTTCTATATCTCGGCATGAAACTTTCCAACCCTTGGCTCAATCTACTCTACGAGAGAAGAAAAAAAAACCGGAAGAAGCAACTGATGAACAAAATTGCCAGACGACGCGCCGTGCGAAACCGCTAAAGCGCGGATCGCCTATTCTTCTTGCAGTTGCAACGAGCAGACAAGTGGGTGTGGTGGGGTGTGGTGCGGAAGGCGACAATCCCCAATTTTGTGCCTATCAAAAACTCTCCGGTGTCAAAGTGACACCCCGGGGGACTACGGGGGTGGGGGGTGGGGGCAGATACATTAATCAATGCTACAAGTAGAAATCCGTGAAAGTCATTGAGACGTATGGTACACAGACAAGTAAACAATGAAATTAAACGGGCGACGTTTTCAATAGTTGCAGGAAATGGGGAAGAGAGCTGCTGGAAGTTGGGACTATGGGACTTCAAATGAAACGCAGGGAAGGACCGATACTAATCTAATATTAAATCCACTTTTGAATGAAATAATTTTATCATAAAACTATTTGAGATGGCCATTACTTAACATCAAGGAAGCCTGACAATTGGCTCCAAAGTTGCTTAGATTTGAAGCTCGTAAGTATATAAATGCAGTTGATTAGCCTTATAGGACCAGTCTGCTAATATGGAAAGGATAAAACTTGATCTAGCAAATTAAGAAGTGGTCATTTCACTAGAGCGTCTTTTAACGCGATCAAACCTTTTTAGCACAGCAACTCTGCGAAAGCGAGCGTTTGAATGTCCAAATTTTTCAAGCTTTGAGTGGCACAGGATCAAAGAAAAGCTGTCTAAAATCAAAAGAAAAAGGACAATCAATTTTGTATCAAATATATTGACTATAAGGTAGATGAACACAGTGGGAATCAGTCTTTTCGTCAATTTTCTATCACATTGGGTTTGAGAATTTGGACATTCAAACGTTCATAACTTTTTCTTCGAATAGTTATTCGCAAAAAAGGAAAGCGGATTTGGAATCAGCGTTTGAAGACGTATCATTTTTTGCCCGATAAAATTGGTATCCTTCCTTTGTAAGTTTAATAGGTTCGCAGCTCACATGGATCAGAACAGCCGTGTGCGCTCTCCGTAGTCCGAACCAGGGCCCGGCACGCGTTGGTTTGAAGTGTTTCTGGAAACGAAGTCCCCCATGACTTCGCGAAAATTTACGAAGTCCCTCTTGACGTAAAAATCAGTACAGAAACCCCTAATTAGTCAAAATAACATTAAAAAAGCGAAAAAAACGCATTTTGAGATAACTAATACGACAGAAAAAGCAAAAAGAAAACATTTCGAGTTGATTAAAGGCTCTGTCGTTGGGTAGTGTACCATTTTAGGGGTGTGTGCCAAGATGAACGATAGCTGGAAGTAAGCATACCGTACTTCTGCGGCTGTCAATGTACCGCGCATAAAGTCTTATTTTTTGAAGCGATATGCTCTTACTGGATTGAAAATGGTGTCGAAAAGTAAAGATTAAGGCCCGTTAAGCTCCCAGCGTTTTTTCCAAATTCCTAAATGCCATCATAACGTAAATATAGAATCTGAAGAATATTTGACCTACGCAACGCATATGGCTGGCACAACCTATCGTTCATGTTGGCTGCAGATAATGTCGAAATTTTGATCAAAAATGTTATCTGATGGACTTGTAGAAAGGTTAATTTGTGTAATTGGGTGTCGCTGGTGGGAACGAGGTTTTATCTCAGACTAATCCTGCTTTCGTTTCCAGAATTGAAAGTGCTCGAGTAATTGGGTATTGCTGGTGGACGAGTATATATTTGTGAAAATATTCCCTGTTGTATAGAAAGGAAAGTAACTGGATTTCGCTGGTGGAGACGAGCGTTACTTAAAGAAACGCTTGAGTCTGGGTCTCGTTGGTGAAGGTTTTTTTGCTTTGCTTGAAACTCAACGCTTCGGGTCTTTGGGTCTCGCTGGTGGAGGGAAGCGTTTACTCGGCGAAATTCTATGCTTTGGGTGACTGGGTCTCGCTGGTGGAGATGAGCTTCTACTTAGGGAAATCCAACGCTTGAATGATTGGGTCTCGTCGGTGGAGGAAAGCGGGGCGTCGGGTAAGGAACCAACGCCAGTAAGTGCTCTCGATGGTGGAGAAGCGTTTACTCGCCGATTCAATGCTTTGGGTGATTGGGTCTCGCTGGTGGAGGGAAGCGTTTACTCGGCGAAATTCTATGCTTTGGGTGACTGGGTCTCGCTGGTGGAGATGAGCTTCTACTTAGGGAAATCCAACGCTTGAATGATTGGGTCTCGTCGGTGGAGGAAAGCGGGGCGTCGGGTAAGGAACCAACGCCAGTAAGTGCTCTCGATGGTGGAGAAGCGTTTACTCGCCGATTCAATGCTTTGGGTGATTGGGTCTCGCTGGTGGAGATGAGCTTCCATCTGGGAAAATTCAACGCTTGAATGACTGTGTCTCGTTGGTGGAGGAAAGCGGCGCTTCGGGTAACGATTTCACTCGTGGAGATGAGCTTCCACTTGAGAAATCCAACGCTTCAGTAAGTGCTCTCGATGGTGGAGGAAAGCGTTTATTTGGGGATTCAACGCTTCGGGTCTTTGGGTCTCGCTGGCGGAGGGAAGCGTTTACTCGGCGAAATTCTATGCTTTGGGTGACTGGGTCTCGTTGGTGGAGATGAGCTTCCATCTGGGAAAATCCAACGCTTGAATGACTGGGTCTCGTTGGTGGAGGAAAGCGGCGCTTCGGGTAACGATCTCACTCGTGGAGATGAGCTTCCACTTGGGGAGATCCAACGCTTCAGTATGTGCTCTCGATGGTGGAGGAAAGCGTTTACTTGGGGATTCAATGCTTCGGGTCTTTGGGTCTCGCTGGTGGAGATGAGCCTCCATCTGGGAAAATCCAACGCTTGAATGGCTGGTCGCGCTGGTGGAGGAAATCGGCGCTTTGGGTAACTGGGTCTCGCTGGTAGAGATGAGCTTCCACTTGGGGAAATCCAACGCTTGGATGACTGGGTCTCGCTGGTGAAGGAAAGGGTTCACTTGTGGAAATTCAACGTTTTGGGTAACTGGGTTTCGCCGTTGGAGATGGGTTTCCACATAGGAAAATCCAGCGCTTGAACTACTGGGTCTCGTTGTGGAGGAAAGCTTTTACTCAGGTTATGCTCTTCCGTGTGGAAGAGAAAGCTAGATAACTGAGTTCCGCTGGTGAAGATGTGTTTCTGTTTGAGGAAATTCCACTAGCGGTAACTGGGTCTCCTGTTGAAAATGCTTCTATTAGGGTGATCACTAAAAAATGGGGCACCTAGAGAATAAATGTAGATTTCTCAAAAAAGAAAAGTGATTAAACTTTCCAATTTTGTTAGATATTAGAATAAATTGTTCTCTTTCAGAAAATACCTACATAAGATCATTTACATACGTAATAATTTTTAGAGTGGCTGAAATGCAAAGTTAGTCACTTTGACAAATTATAAACTTTGGGCAGTATCTGCGCAGTGAAACATGTGAGACCATCCAAAGTACCACTGCTGGAGTGGGTGGTGGGACAGTCACTAAATCCACGACAGCTTGATGGCCTCAACTTTCAAAGTCAGGAGATATAGCCATTAGTAGCTTCGAGAACAAAGATACGGGTTATTCAATTCTTTTCAGGTGAACGCATGTTTTCTAGGTGCCATCTGATAGAGCTTTTTACGCTCTATCCATTCTTATGCAGCTTACCTCACATTTCATCTATCTTCGGAAAATACAGATTGAAAATTGATTTATTGGTTTTTGTTGCGCCAAAAAATCGCGATTTTTCAGGTGTTCTCTTTTTTTACCCAGAAATAGAAAGTTATCCTGTATGTTAAATATATTGTTTGAAAGAGCATGAAGAGCTCTTTCGAATAGTATATCAATTGCTCTATAACTTTGCCGTATGGCAGCGCAAGAATGAGCGATGTTCAAAAAACCCTGTTCGAGTCAGGGCGCCACGCGTAGGGTTGTGGGAGAGGAGCGTTGAAGCTTTGCCAGAATAAAAGGCGAAGGTTGCTTATATAAGCGACGTTAACGTTGCAGCCTGCTTGTTGTTGATCTAAAAAAAATCTCAAAATTTAATAAAAATCAAGCTGCCCCATTTTTTAGTGATCACCCTAATAATTGGGGTTATACGCTTGAGTAGTGGGTCTGGCCTGCGAGCTGGTGAAAATGAGCTTCTGCTAGGTAAGGCATCAATTATCCTATAGGAAAGGCGGTTGGGAACGAGCGCCTATTTAGAAAAATTTGCTTTTCTTTGAAGAAAGTAAAGCATTCAAGTAAGTGGGTCTCGCTGGTGGAGATGAGGGTTAATTCGAAAGATCTTCCTATTTTGTATGAAGGAGAGCTTGATGGATGAGTCTGGCTGGTGGAGCCAACGCTTTCCATAAAGGATTATAGCGCGTAACTTTTTCGTACATAATTGGCAAAATTTGATCGATGATTGAAGGGCAGGGCATATAAAGAGTAACAGGGTTTCGTTGTTCGATGGCAGCTGACTCTTCAGAGAGGTCACTACCGGGGGTGACTTGGTGTCGCTGTATCGCAAAATCCGTAGAAGAAAATTGTTCTGGGAGTGCGTGTTGAGGAAATTCTGTTCTTGTTGAAAGCGAAGCGTGTGAGTGAAGATCTCATTGATGGAGGCCATGCTTTCAAGCGAAAGGAACCTTTTCGGGAAGTGCGTTTATTCCACAGATTTTCCAGTATCTCATAAAAATCTGCTTTGTAGACGGTTTCATGGGGAAACCTCACCTATACTTGTAGAAAAGCGAGTTATTGACGAGTCCCGCAAAATAAAAAGGCTCAAAGTTCAGGGTAGAGTATCAGTCCAGAAAACTTTTTCAGATGCTTCCACTCGATAAGGAGTCTACCTTGGAGCAAATCTGATGATTCGGCGGAAATTATGTTCAAGTAAAATAAAATGCAGGAAGATGTCATTGAGATGCACAAACTTCCAAAACATATGCTTCGATCCACTTATAGCGACCCGCAGGGTCGCTAGTCTCTTGAAATAATGGACTTATCTGTTACTAAGACTTTCTTGAGAGAGAAGCAGACTCACATGCTAGATTGTAGGGTAACCAGAAAGCACTATCATGACTTATAATAAAGCGCTAAACGTCTGTCTTTTTGTGCGTGTGTGTTTGTCTGTCTGTCACGAAATTCATAGAGGCAGCTGCAGCCAAGCTATCGAGCTACAATTTTGCATAGCATACCGTACCAGCGTGTAGGCCCACCATGCACAAGGACGGGCCGGTTCGATAAGCGGGTTCTTCAAAATTTGCGCGTCAAACAGGTCCACGTGGCTTTTGGCGCGCAAAACTAAGTCACAAATTCAACTTTCTGCAAAGTCAAAGTTGCCGCCAAGCAAATCTGCGCTCCAAGAATTCTAGCTCAAAAAGTGCTCAAAAAGTTTGCTTTTCCGCGAAAACAGCGCCAAAAAGTAGTGATCGCGTAGAGAGTCGATTTGACAAGGTTTTACATGAATATTTGAAAATTTTGCATGGAAATGTAGCCCAAAATGACTATTATCTTTATAACAATTATCAAGCCAAAATAAATTCAATAATGGCAAAAAGTTTTCTTTCTCAAAATTACTGATCTTACGTGGAGATGCTTCAAGAATGAACAGTTGTCTACAATTCATTTATGATGTACAGCCTCCCGCGGTGAGTTTCTAAGTCATCATTTTGGGAGCATGAATAAGGCATACGGATAACAAAGCCAGTGCGAACCTCCGCGAAGCGGAGGTGACGCACTGGTATATGCTAATGGACATTCTGTAGATGAGAACATGCTAAAATTTTAGCTTGAGGACAGTGTCAGTAGATGCGGCTTGTAAGATTTTTATGTTTTACGAAACTGGGGTGTAAGTTCAGTAATGACGTCATAAAACCGCGAAAAATTTTTTTGAAGCTCAAACTGCATACAAAATCTGATTAGAGGGTGAAGGAGAGCGAGAAGAAAATGATTTATCCAAACTTCAAAAAAATAGCCAATCATCTGAGTGCGAATATGTACGGCTACTAGAGCTTCAAATATCTTCCATGCTTTCATCGTTTTATCCGACTGTTCAGAAGTACAAAGTCTAGATGGACTTTTCCAAAGTAGATTACTAATGATTTTTATGACGCGCACATTCCCTCACTCCTTCGCATTTCCTACTTTCCGCACGCTGTTGTTTGCTTAGTGGCCGGGTCAATCCGGGCCGGTCGAGCCGATCGTCTTGGTAGACAGTCCATGCTGTTCCGCTTCATAGCATTAGTTTCTTCCATTGCTGTCATTCCTATATTGTTTTCGATATGGCTTGAGTACGTCCCTCTACATGAGCTTCCTTCTATAGCCAAGGTAAAATTATCTTTTACTCAAAATTATCTCCACAGATGAAAATATAAGGACGGAGCAAGAACTTAACAGGACGTGATTGATCTGTGTTTTGACCGCGATTAACGGCGAACTTGGAAGCCGTAACCTTCTTGATTGTCCCATAGTTTATGGTTCACTCAAAAATTTTTGAATTTGTTTTTGAAAGGTTTATGAATAGAGTTTCTTACTCACTCTATATATTTTTTGCTATAGTATTAGGTTGTTGCAAAAATAATGTCCGTTTTGCAAATTTCATTTTGAAAAGCTATAACTTCGTTCAGTCTCCATATTTTTGAATGCAGTCAAGACCATCAGATGCAGTAAACCTTTCGTAATCTAAGGCGCACTTGCATATACTGATATCGCAAACGGGAAGAAAACCATGCGTTAGAAAACCAAAATTTTGCTTTTGAAAACCTCGTTTTTAAAAGATTACAAATTCCTTCAAGTTTTTTTTGTTATGGCAGCTAATCAGCTTATTTTGTAGACGCAACCCATTAGTATACGCTTGTATATAAAGAACTTTAGCGAAGAAGTTCTGCGAAACAAAAAAGATAGAAATCCAAAATTGTTCACTTTTTTAAGCCTATTTGTGATAGGCTTGGAAGTCCCAAACTATAAAAAATTGGAATTCTTCATGCACTGAATAGCTAAGTTTTTCTGCATGAACTGTAGATAAGATGTCCTGACTTTAAGCCTCCAGAAACGAGCGAAGTTTCAGCGATTGCCCTATTCAGGAAAAATTTCGAACCCATAGAGTTCCAGGCAGCGAGTATCTTTTTTGAAGCTCGATTTGTCAGTTCAGATATATTCGAAAAAATTATTCAAACATGCAATAAGTAAACAATATTTATCATATACAGTAGCTATGTTTTCAGAAGAATTTGTTTATTAGCGCCTGAATTGTGGCCACGAAAGTTGGAGCAATGAAATTTCGATTTTGAAAATGATATGACAGTGCCGCTTCATTTCTCTACTTAGGTTGCAAATAATCAATAAATCGATAGAAGGACCCACTGAATTGTCGCAAAAAGTAGCCTATCTTCTGCGCCTGGCCTCATTTATAAAGGAGCAAATTTTAGCCTCATCGGTTCACAAACAAAGGAGTCTATAAGCTACATACTTACATACTAACAAATTTACAGAGATTGAGTTTTATTTATATATAGATGCCCCAGTTTTGGTCAACACTTAAGAATAAGTATTAACATTATGATTGTGCAAATTGCTGGTGAAAATCTTACAGATAAGATAAAAGCTTAATTTCACAACCGTTAGAAAGTACATGAAGAAAGCTTTCCAATGATGTGCAGAACCTGTATCGAAAAAGAAAGCCTGAAGAAGAAAAGTCGTTTGGAATATACGCCTAGAAAACCGGACATTATTTTTGCAACGACCTAATACATATTATTTATTCTGAACATCAAGGACTTCTATGGAGTGAATTCAAATGGGAAGAAGGAATTGAAAATCTAAATCTGTATGGTTCATTTGCTCGGAACGAATTTCTGTATGTTAAAAAGATTGGATCATGTAACCGAAACTAAAATAAAATCGAATTCTGTTAGCCTTAAACATTTACTACAAAGCAATTGTTCATAGAATTAGTTTTCTTAAATTACCTTTTGTCGTCGCGATGTAAAAATAATGACTTCTGCATCAAGCATCATTAGGAAGCGCATAATTTTCGTTTAGAAACCATAAAAAGTAATTTTGTGATAATTGCACAATATTCACAAGCGACCTATTAGGTGATTGTGATCAGGTAGCTTTTACCGACGTACTTTCACATCAGGACTTCCGAATGTTAGATGAAATGATACCTTTTCAGCATTTCATTAGTTTTGCAAAGTTTCTTTACGACGGAAAATGTCCAAGAAGTTACCTAATAATGAGAATCTATAGAAATTTTCTATGAAGCTATGGTTCCCATCATGACTTATTCCAATAGGCTCTTGTTCGATTGTATGGGAATGCATATATGTAAAATAGCTTGGAAGTTTTAGAGCAACCGGCTGATAATGCCACTATATGCTTTTAATATAGACAATACAAAAAAAAACTCTTCAACAAGCTGATTATATCATATATTAGGTTGAACCGAAAGTTCTTTCCCCCATTTTCAAAAATTCATAACTTGTTGAATTCTCAACGAATCTGCAAGATCTAAATTTTGTATAAGAGAGGAACTCATGCTCTTTGTAACTGTACCTGAATTGTTCGTTAATGTGTACAAATGAAGGAGATGGAAGCTCAAAACCAAAATGACACAAAAATTGAATTTTTCGTGTAGGGTCATAAAAAATCGGAAACTTGCAACAAAAATCGGAGCAGTCAGTATTGTGGGTTCTTTTATCCGCTCTTTCTAACAGTGCAAAGTTTGCGCCGATTGAGCGTCTCTATGAAAAGTTATGATTTTCGAGCAAGCAATACAAAAGGACGAATTTGATTTATTTTGGCATTTTTCAGGGAATTCGTAACTTTCACAGAGTCCCTCAATCAGTGCAAACTTTGCACTGTTAGAAAGAGCTGGTAAAAGAACCTACAATGCTGACTGCTCCGATTTTTGTTGCAAGTTTCCGATTTCTTATGACCCTACACGAAAAATTCAATTTTTGTGTCATTTTGGTTTTGAGCTTCTATCTCCTTCATTTGTACACATTAACGAAGAGTTCAAGGACAGTTACAAAGAGCATGAGTTCCTCTCTTATACAAAATTTAGATCTTGCAGATTCGTTGAAAATTAACAAGTTATGAATTTTTGAAAATGGGGGGAAAGAACTTTCGGTTCAACCTAATATATCTGCCTAGATTCGCTTTGAAATTCAAAATAAAGATGCGTGTTCCTAAGTGAGAGGGTCTTTTTTTTTTGATAGAAGCAGCTCATTTTGTCTATCAGAAAACTCAAATCTGTCTCAAGACATGCAGCAAAAATCCTCCTGTAGCTATTTTCCACTTTGCAAGATCGCCTTCGTTTGTCAGCTACAGTGCATCTCCAAAACTTATATGCTACCCGATTTATTACTCTCTGGTAATTCAAAAAAGAACCATTATAAGAATAAATTCTGCATTGCGCGAAGTTCGAGAATATATTTCTTGTAGATTGTCTTTGAGATCGGCTGCTTAGTTTAGTGCGGCTCATGAATAAGCTATTGATTTTTTATGGGATTATATCATTTTGCGAAATAAGATATTTGACACTGGGTCGCGGCCTAGAAACAAACAAAACTTTTTGGCATAATGTTCAATATTTCGGCAAGCAAGCTTACCGATTATTTTAAGCTTCGTTCACTTATATGTAATTTGTCCAATATTCCGTTATGCGAACCCATTTTCTCGTAAAAAGATATTACTTCTTTCCTTATACCAAATCTGACCATAACTAAGCAAGTAGAAGTGTCAACCCCTGCCACATGTCAAAAAAATTGACGAGTCATCTACATGAACAGGTTTAACAGGTTTTACCAATGGTTTGTTTAGCCTAGCTTTCAATGTGATTTCAATCTGTATTTTATTCAATAACTAGCTGATCTGCCCGGTCCAGCCCGGGAATGATCACTGATCGGGAATGAAGATAAGGTATTCGGTGGCATTGTAGAAACTGTGTAAAGAACAAAAACAAAATATGAACACTTATTAGTCGGTAGCATATCTCTCTTTCTCCAAATCAAGTTCAACACGCAAAACCTAAGCAAGCAGCGTGAGTTAATTGATAGCAGCGCTCATTGTTATTATGAGGATCATTTTTTGTGACACTTTCCGCTAACCGGCTACTTCATCTTCATTCACTGCTTGCCGTCAATTTTTGTGGAGTCGGCAGTACTTTGCACTCGCGCACTTTCCTGGTTCCAGGGATCAACTATAGCGAATGTGAGTTGTCGCTTGTCTTGTCTTTGTTTCAAAGAGTAAATAGCTTTATAACCTTTTCTCCACTTTGTGCATGACATAGAATTAACGCTCCCTGTCTTATGAGATAGTCGTTTGACTGTTTTTACAGTCGTTTGTCTACTCACTACAAAATTCAAAGCCTTCACTTTTGTGGACGCTTTTTTGACGAACAAAAGTATGACGAATATTGATTGGCTCACACTGACATCATAACAGTCCTTTTGAAGGCAGCGCCCAGGCAGATCTGGACCTATGGGGATTTTACGTGAGTAATTTTGGGGCCCTAACTAAGGCACTGCCCAAGCGACCGTACAGGTAAATCACTAACGGCAGAGATATGCGCCTTCAAAGTGGACCCCAGGAACTGTTAGCATGGATCCATGGCAGTTTCGCCCGAGGACCCAGCTTTGCGCCATGAATCCATGCGGAGTACGATCCCGGGGTCCAGTTCCGAGGAGGATATCTCAGCCGTTAGAGCACTATCTGAGCTGCCGGTTGGGCAGTGGCTTAGTTAGGGCCCCAAAACTACTATCCACATGAGATCCCCATGTGTCCAGACTTGCCTGAACGCTGCCTTTAATGCGTTATAGCCACTCGCACCATAAAGTCAATGTATTTTGCAAAAGACATGAAATGTGGAACCTACATTTCCAAACGCTTTTCACCCTGCTTTGATGACAGAGGTTTAGAATGAAACATACTGCTTTTGCTACATGGTTCGATGAAAATGATATGACAGTGCCGCTTCATTTCTCTACTTAGGTTGCAAATAATCAATAAATCGATAGAAGGACCCACTGAATTGTCGCAAAAAGTAGCCTATCTTCTGCGCCTGGCCTCATTTATAAAGGAGCAAATTTTAGCCTCATCGGTTCACAAACAAAGGAGTCTATAAGCTACATACTTACATACTAACAAATTTACAGAGATTGAGTTTTATTTATATATAGATGCCCCAGTTTTGGTCAACACTTAAGAATAAGTATTAACATTATGATTGACATTCTTTGTTCAATGAACACATTGGTTTTTACAAAACACAGAAGTGAGCTATTGTTCTATCATCTAAACCACGAAGCCATCGGCAGCAGGTATTTCGAGCTCATTCATATTCTTTCCCGGCTAAGTTCGCATGACAAACAATGTAGAGAGCAGGATTTCCTTGAATCATTGCTGAAAGCTACCAAGATGTGATAAACGTTTACAACTTGCTTTGCTATAAAAACGTTTTGCTCGAACTCGAAAGCTGTCCAGGGAACTTTTATAAAAGTTCCCTGGACAGCTTTCGAGTTTTTTCGAATGCTCTCGTACCTCACCGGAAATGACTTTGAAAAACATATCAAAGTGGCCCCAAACTTTTCAACTTTTATCCTGACACGTGGCAAGGAGACAGTCCTCACAAGATCTGTAAACATTTTGTAGGCTAAGCGTGTATTTCATGAAAACATATAGAAAAAAATGGTTCCGGGTAACTGAAAATACCGATTATTACTGTTGTGAAATACCGTAAAAATTTGATCTCAGCCTTTTGATTCGTTAAACTGAGTCTCGAAGAGTGGAGATGGGGGATGTTTTGGCATCTTTCGTGTTAATCATATAAATATGACTTCCCGTAAGATTTCCTGTAGCATTGTGCGATAGCTTCTACAAGTGACATTAATGGAAGCCAATCAATTTCTATCCACTTGCTGTGTAAAGTCTGTTTAGCTTAACCAAATGACAATTTTCTTAACTGTAAATGTCGAACACTTTTTAGGATGGTTTTTGGGGACCTGGTGAGCCTTACATGGATGATGGGCGCATTGAAGTATTCAAGGTGGACATTCCCGATGAGCAGTGAGTAAAAAAATTATCAAATCACCTCGCAAATCTTTAATTTGTAGGATCGACGACTTGAAGTCCCATATTAATCCTGATCGTCTAGTACACCCTCTGGAAGATTGTACAAAATCGCAAACTAGACATGATCTCATGCGAAATCTGTCCAAAGTGATGAGTTTATTTGACTGGAAGCAACATCAGCATTTTCTGAACACTTTCAAGCAATATAGGTAGGTGAAACTACGGAGTACATACGATGAAGTTGTTTACTTCTTCCAGAACTGAGATTGAAGGGTTGCAAATTCACTTTTTACGGATTTCTCTGCCGAAGGAAAAAGGAAAAGATACTATACCAATTTTGTTACTGCATGGTTTTCCTGGAAGTTATTGGGATTTCTACAAGGTTGCAGTTTTTCATGTCAAGCTTTTTGCAATCAAATTTTCAAGAAGTACTTTCAGGTAATTCCAATCCTCACAAATCCCGTTCGATTCGGATTCGATTTTGGCGTAAAGAAGCCGTTCCAATTTGAAGTCATCGTGCCGAGCCTTCCAGGATTTTTATTTTCTTCAAAGCCATCGAAGAAAGGTGAGATTAAGTTTAGTGTCAGTTTCCTAAGCCATCATTTGTTGACAATCTTGGTCTTCTTCGTCCCCGTATAGGGTCGACCATAGTGCTTTGAGAAACTAACTTTTAGTTAAGGATAAGTGTGGAAATTAAGTGGGGAACAAAATCTTATTTGTCGGTAGCTAAATTTCCTGCAGATTTGTTGAGCTGACATACCCCTTTTGATAAACATCTTGAATTCGTAGAAAGCTGATAAGATCCTTTAAACATTTTAAATTATAAATTACATTGCATATGTGCTTTCGGAATGGACAATTAATTAGGTATCTTTTCACTAATATTCTCGATATTTACCTATTTATAAGACGGCAACAGTTAATGAGCACTTAACTTTAAAAATATTATAAATATAAGAAATGCTTTCGGCCCAATATTGGGCATGAAAATGCAGCACTTGTCAAAGAAGAGATGAGTATCTCAAAAATTTCTAGTCTTTTTTAATGACTTTGATGCCTTCGGCTGACCTCATTCTACGCAGGTCTGTCATCACCTGACATAGCCAGAATTGCGGCAAAGTTGATGGAACGATTGAGCATTGAACGTTATTTTGTGCAAGGCTCAGAGCGTAAGTAATTTCATTGTTTTTTTTTAATTTTGCGCCGACATTCTAACTAATTCTCTTCATTTTTAGTGCTAGGAGCTGAAGTAGCTACAGCTCTGGCAGCAATTTATCCAAAGCAAGTCAGAGGTGTTCACTTAGGCAATCCATTGGTTCATCCTGGATTTTCGTTGCAGGTAGTACGTTTTTACTCTAACTCTTTGTATTGGGTTGTCCGGAAATTAATGCCCGTTTTGAATTTCAACCGCGATAAGTCATACACTTCCCATTTCTAAATAGGTTGCAAAGTGCCATTGGATAGAACAAATCAAGCTCTACAGGACGGCCATCTTGTTTTTGCAACAGCTCTCATCCATCTCGAGTTTCCAGCCAAAAATTAAAATGATTCAGTTGCACGAAAAATCGAGAATAATCGTAACTCAGTTCATAAAAATCCTACAAAAATTCTAACTTGCTCACGTAAACATTATCCACATAAAACATCTATATACGCCATTGCCGTCTCTTTTCATTATTTAGAAATTAAGAAAACGGAAAATTTTCGTGCATTTGCCAAAGTGATGCTGGCCGTCCCCACTAGTTTACAGGCTTGTGGTATACAACTACATATGTGGGGACAGCACAGTATCACTTTGGCAAATGCACGAAAATTTCCGTTTTCTTGATTCCTAACAGAGGAAAAATTACGGCAAAGGTGTATATAGATGTTTTATGTGGATAGTGTTTACGTGAGCAAGTAAGAATATTCGTAGGATTTTTATAAACTGAGTTACGATTTTCTTCGATTTTTCGGGCTGCTGAGTCTTTTAAGTTTTTGGCTTAAAACTCGAGGTGGATGAGAGCCGTTGCAAAAGCAAGATGGCCATCTTGTAAAGCTTGCTTTGCTTTATCAAATGGTACCTTGCAACCTATTTAGAAATGAGAATTGTATGAGTTATTGCGGTTAAAATTCAAACCGGGCATTAATTTCCGGACAACGTAATAGTTTTGAACTGCAAATGTTGATTCAGGTATCCACGAAGCATATTTTGGAGTCTTTCTACAGTTGTAATATTTATAATAGCTTCTTTGGACGGACTGGTGATTTTCTCGACAGGTTTAACATCGAAGTGAAAAATTTTGAAGCAATAGGTATCCATGAACTGTCTTTTTTACCTCTCTGAATGCAATACGATTACAGGCGATTCTTTGAACTCTTCTCCATTGAGTATCGCATCTTACTTGACGTCTGTATGGTCCCTTTTCTCCAGCCATGATCCCTCAAGACCATTGAGTCAGCTCTTCACCCTAGATGAGCTTGCTACCATATCATATTTTTACTACCTCACCGAAACCACTCCTCATGCACTGAGAATTATGAAAACGATTCTTAATAACGACGATGAAAGTGAAAGGTAATTCCAACATTACTAGTCTATCAGGCCTAAGGGCATGCCTAAGCGATTCCAGTCGCGACACGATTTGGGAATTTTCCAATTGTTTGCTCATCGTAATTGCATACTGCATGGACACAGATAAGGCATTTCATCAGTCACAAAAGCTATGCGCTGAACAAATTTGATTCATGAGTGCTGAATTTGAAGACACAAATCGCCAAATCGCGTCGCGACTCGAATCGCGCGAGGTGTACTCAGGGCATTAGAGGTAATAGCTTCAATCATTGTTCCTTGAGGTTACAAGTGATTGTCCCGACTGGACTTCTACAATCGCCTGAATCTCCATGGCACACTAAGCGGTCCATATGTCAGCACCGCTACCTAAACATCACTTCCTTTACGGAAGTGACAAAAGGAGGAGTATTTCAGCACCTACAGGATCCACAAGCATTTGCGGCAGATGTTTTTCGATTTGTTGAGTTGGTGCTGCTGCATAAATAAAATCACAAAGTGATCTCCAATTCAGGCAGTGCTCGCACAAAAAAGTATAGGATAGTACGACGGTCAAAAAAATCAAGAGGTCTTTGTACAGATATCGATGTATTGCGATGTTTGAGAAATAACAAAAATGAAGCACAATCACCATATAATAGTAGTTTAACCTATTCCTGCAAACCAAAGAAATTCCCTCAGAATTCGAAGAGTTTATGATAGCTCCAGTCAGGGCTCGGCACAGATGGTTTCGGGTCAAACTGGACTTCGTTTTTGAAGTTAGAAGCAGCGGGGATATCGTTTTTACAAGTCCTAGAGGAAGTGCCAAAAAACGACGAACATGTCAGGTTTTACGAGTTGAACGTGTTCTTTTGCAAGCGCGCGAATTTCAAACGCAAGGCTCAAACAAACAAATGGCTTGTTTACAGCGCACAAACAATCACATGGCTCCGAATTTGGGCTATGTGTATACAATATTACTCCAATCTTTGTTATGTAAAAAATCTCAAAAACCTATGTGTTCTAATATCCGTTCCCGAATTTGTTGGTTTCTAGACCAACACCAAACCAAATGGGTTGGTTCGGAGCATAAATATCGGAGAGTTTACATAAGTTTTGGACATTTTTGATTTGGACGATCAGAACGTTTAAAAATCTATCATAAAGTGAGGAGAGCGAATCAGACCATTGCCTCTCCTCTTTTTTTGAGCCAAAAATAGCGTAATTTCTACGCTTTGATAGATATCGCGCTCCAGTCACATGCGGTGTCCTTTGAACTATGTGGCGAAAAATGCATCGCCGGATTGTTGAGGCCACAGATTTGGTTTAGGAGGTTTTCGACTTTCCAAGCACTAAAATGATACTATGCTCAATGGCAAAGCCTTCAATCGACTCTAAATGTTTTCCTTTTGCTTTTTGTTATACTAGATAACTCAAAATACGCTTTTCGCTTCTTTATCGTTGTTTTGGTTGCGTAAGGTTTCCCGTACTGGTTTTTATGTCGAGAAGGACTTCGTAAATTTTCGCGAAGTCATGGGGGACTTCGTTTCCAAAAAAAGCTCCAAACCAACGCGTGCCGGGCCCTGGCTCCAGTCCAATGTAAACTGACAGATTCACTTCGATCTGTTTGCACCAAAAATTTGACACCGATGGGACATGCGCAGTATCGGTGTTCAAGATAGAGCCACTTCCAGATAATGCCTCAACGCCCTTAGCTGTTGATAGATTGACCTGAACTTTGGCACAACTGTACCTGTGTACATAAACCAGTCTACATATTCAGCGAATAGGTTTTTTTATTGAATATTTTGGAGAAAAACCACAAATTCCAGGACATGGTGCAGCAAATCATAAGATTTGATCTTACAGGACTCATCTTATACCAGACATTCCTGAACTTATGCTGCTTGAAAATCATACCAAAAATATTTTGGTCCGGCAGAACGATAGAATTAATTTGGAGTATTTACACGTAGAAGTATTTCATGCCCTTTTGAAGACCGCAACTGCTTCGAGTAAAGTGTGTACATTTGAATGTCCATCTGCTTTGTTTAGCATGAGGGGTATGTCCCTAAAATCTGGTGTATAAGATTGTTTTTTTTCACCAAGATAAGTTCCTCCTCAATCAGTCCGCCTACAGACAAGTCCTTTTTTAATTTTAATTACCCTAAAATCTGGCGTTCGAGTCCGAAATGACCTTATCCGTACCGCACTTACATATCTATAGACATTTGTCTACGAGGAGGCCCCATATGCTAGATTTATTTGAGGGTTATACTCTCAGAGCCTGCCTCTGTTCATAGCATTTCAGCTGACCTGAAGTAAGGAATGACAACAATTCCCTCTATTTTCCTTAATTTGTAAATGCCGAGGAGAAAAGGATTTTTGATGATGAATATATGCGACATCACTTGAACGCCGATCTTTGCTCGAATCTCATTTTCAAATTTTGCGACGTCGTTGCAAACTGCCAATAAAGTGGACATCGTTTGTATGAGGGATTGTCCAAGAACCATATTTATTCTATGTTCAAAGATTTTAACACACCTAGGTATTGTTGTTTATCGTTCCCCTCTGCAAAGCCTTCTAGAATGAACAAACCATTACAGGACTTTCTATCTGTTAGCTTGAATACGAGTTGTTTTAGATCTGGTACAAAGTTGATCAAATTTTGCAATTGAAGAGCCATTGTGTTACATTCTAACAACTTGCAGGGCCTTTTTTCTGGAGCAAAGTGCAGCTTTGTGGATATTCGTGAGTTATCCTACAGATCATTGCCCTGCAAACGATGATTTGATTGTATGCGCCTAACGATAAATGGAAAAGAGAGTTTCAAGACGAAATCTGAGCTCAATGTTGCGATTAGATTAACGTTGGTTTGAAAGCATCAAATTCACAATTCACAATTCAAATCAATTCAATTGTTCAAAGCGGTAGGCAAAATATTGAGAGAATCTCATTGCTTCTCACGTATGCAGTGTTTCTGATCTCAAGCCTATAGAAATGTGACATACATTGACCAAAGCAATTTATTGTGAGGATGTACTTACATAAAGCACTTCGGAAGCGAATAAATATTTCAGTGAATGAAAGGTCCAACATCCTTAAATCGAGAACTTAACTTCATTTCTTCCAAATTTTTATAACGGTCACATTCGTTCCTGTAAGTAACAGTTCATTATGTTTGTGTTTATAGAAAGGATACTTGCGTCACGCCCTTGTAAATGGAAATTCTAGAAGGCAACCTGAAGAATAGGAGCACATTAGAGTGACACAAAGAGCTGTGACATGCTTTTGTGAAGCATATAGGATTCTGTTCTACAAGGCTCCTAAATTGCAGAGTTGTTTGCACCAGCGGTCGCGCGACCGCGTCGCGCCCGGGCATCAATGGCGCCGCCTCGATCGACGCGGTCGCGCAACCGCTGGCGCAAACGACTCTGCAGTTTAGGAGCCCTGTAGATCTGAGTTCGTTTCATTGCTACTTCACGAAAGGGAATTTATACATAACAAAACAGCTGCAGCGGCCCAATGCAACATTTTGCTCAAACGTGAATACGACAGACTACGAAGGTTTTTTTATTCAATTATAAAGAAGTATATACAAGCACAACACTTTAATGGCGACTCGCATTCAATTTTTGAGTTGTTGTCAACCAAATAGAGCTATTCCGCTGATAAACAGGATTTGATTCCTTCACATTAGTTCTGCTTCTACTAAATAGCTAAATCACTCCCCGACAACGGGCACTCAAGCGAGATTTTCCCGTGAATATACTTACATTGTTCCATTGTCCGTTAATTCCAGTACGCCTGAAATGTTTTGTACCACTTTCTGCGTCCTTCCTCCAATTGTCCTAACATTGAACAAATGTTCATACATCGGTTTCCAATCGATGTGAGCAGTGTCAAAGTACTCCCTAGTCTTTTCAAATTTTGTTCTCGATGTTGGGATCCTGCTCTCAAAAAGAAATTACTGAACACAGACAGGTTTTTGAAAAACCTTCAAATTTCTTCGTTATTTTCGCCTCTCTCCTAACAGACCTCTAAATTATAACGTCCGAAAAAGCTTGACCTATAAAATTATTTCTGTCGTCAATTCTACCCTAGTATCTTGCTTTCGTGCCTGTGAAGGAAGTATTAGGTCGAACGAAAGTCTTTGCCTAATTCGAAACTAATGACATTTCGGATTCTAAACATTTATCATTCTTTTTTTATAGATAGTAGGTTGCAATTTATAATAAGTGTCCACAGGTAACTTTCTAAAGGCTAGCCATCAAGAGCGAAGCTTTCAGAAATGGGCAAAATTGCAAATTTGAGTTTGGTGCTATAAAAGTGCGGAAATCCGCTAGCTAACCCAAAAAATCTATTTGAAATTTTCATGGCTTACTGTACTGCATTCTTGAACCTTACATGGTGCAAAACGAAAAGATTTTTGCAAGATGTCATTTTAAAGGAAAATCTGGTTATCACTGCATTTTTCGCCAAAACACTACTACAGGCCTTAAAAAACGTCGCAGTGATCTAGGTAAGTATTAGGTCAAATTTCTGTGCAGAAACTGCACCTATAAGGAGTTTCTGTAAGGTAAGACTTCGCAGGATAATCAATATGGGCTTATCATTGCCACAGAAACAATGAAGCGAAATCTTAGCCAGTATAAAAGCCAATATAAACTAACTGTAGACTATTTTCCCTAGTTGGGTGGGAACGAAAGTTCTTGCGTAATGCGAATTCAATAACATTTCAGATCCTAAACAGGATTTATCGTTCTGTATTTTATAGGTAGTAGGTTTCAGCATTATAATAAATATATATAAGTGTAGGGCATTTAGAAACTCATGACGATGGCGCGACTTCGCGCAACTCGCATGCGCCTTTCAGAAACCGCAGTTTGGAACCACGTCTACTTCAATAATTTTTAGCTTTCCTATGAAAGTATCTAGACGCTGCAAGTGACTAAGCCGAGTGTTGATGGTGCCTTTTTGTTCGAGTATTTGATGCTCTTGCGCGCGCAAAAATCGCAGCCAAATCCGTCCTCACGATTATATACGTGACCTGTAACTTTCTACATGACTACCGAGAACGAAGTTTTCAGAAATGGAGTTTCAACTTTGCAAATATGATTATAGGGCCAGAAAAGTGGGAGATCCGCTAACTAACCCAAAAAATCTATTAGAAATTTCCATGAGTTGCCATGGCACTCATGAATCTCAATGGTCCAAAAAGGAGAGATTTCTGCGAGTTAATTTAGAGGGAAATTTGCTTATTACTAAATTTCGACCAGAATACTACCACACACCCCAAAAAACGCCTTTGATGTACTAGGTCAAATTCTGTGTAGATACTGCCTCGATAAGGAGTTTTCTGCAAAATAAGACTTTGCAGAATATTTAACAAGCTGGCCAATTATCATTGCCACAGAAACGATGAAGCAAAATTTTAGCCAGTGTAGAAGTTGAAAACAACCGCAGTCCTTGACAAAGCGCAGACTTCACAACTCTATGAGAGTTGTTAAAGACATTTGTTACTAACCCTAAATCGTAGCTGCTAAATCTACGGCTGCCTGTTGCTTTGGAATCGAAAATAATAGACTATTATTGGTGTTAATGCTCTAACACTAATCGAAGCCCTAGCATTGCTGGCGCGCTGAAAGACAAACATTCCAATATTTGAACCATTATAGCTGCAAATGTACTTTTGAGGAATTTTGCGTAGTGCATGCATCATTTGCAGCACCATTCGGTGCTTGTTGTCGTGATGAAATTCTGCTTAATAACAAGGCTAGATAGAACCAGCATTTCGATGACAATGGGTTTCGTTTGAAGCAGAAAATTTTGACAATAAGTCACTGGAAGTAAGCAGCTTTGATTAATTTTTAAATAAAACCCATCTGATAAGCTTAAATTCGGCCCCTTATTAAACAACCAACAAAAAGTCCGAAGACCATCATTTAGTAATGCATCCGCCTCAATTGAGGGTGAGTTGGCAGTCAATATCATTTTTTGAATGTTCTAAATGACCCAGTTCTTGAGGTAGTTCTCTTGATTGGAGTACACCTCGTCCATGGAGCAACCAGTTATCTTGAAGTTGACGAAAAAAAACTAAAGGAATGGGCTCAATATGGCATAGACCAAACTAAATACCCAAAAGAGAAACCTAAAAATCCATCTAAAGACCAAGAAAATGACCACTCGAATGAGATCTTGGAGAAAGAAGGAGACAGAATGCCCTCAAAGAATGCAGACAAAAATGGAGATGCCTCAAACTCTATCTCGAAGAATGGCGACGAAGGAAACTCTATATCTGGGAAGTTGTCAAAGGATCCATCCAAGCAAGAAGAAAACTCTGTCTTCAAAGATTATCATGTATCTTTGAATACTACCAAAAAAGAAAGCGATTTCAATGTTTTGCGGAATAACCATTCTGAAGAGCTGCAGGAGAACCCACACAAGAAAGAGGAGCAAGAAGAAAATACAAATTTAATCTCGGAAAATGACCCTGAAGATTTACCAAGACATCCGGACGATGAGAGCGAGGTTTCAATCGCTCTCCCGGGAGATGATGACGATAGAAATTATGACTACGACAAGGAAAGGGAGAATTGGAATGAATGGGCGCAGAACTACAGTGAAAAAGACGAAGGCTGGGGCACAACTTATGGTGTGCACCTCATTCTTGGTCCTCCTCTATTGCTCCGCGAGCGCTGGCCGTGGGGTCGGGGAGGCCGCCGCCGCAACCGATTTCGAAATGAATTGAAGTAATCTCAATTGTCTAATAAAGAGTTCTAGTGACCATTCGCTTTCACTTTATACTGGCTCAACGTTCACATGATTTGAGCAGTCTGACGCAAGCTTCATGACTCTTCAAGCGCAGCTACACTGCATCGTTCACTTGAAGGGCGCTTCCCTTCTTGAATGCACCTAAATTGCGGGAAAAGTGGGGCACGCTTTTCAAAAAAGGTCTTGTTACATGGCTTCATACTTTGTTCTCAATCACTATTGTGCGCATACATACTAGAAAATTCGGGGCCTATCAGTACCTAGCGTTGCAAAAGTATCTTGTTTTCATTCCTCAGAAATGAAAATTTTCGAAAAAAAATGTGTTCTTCTTTTGTCCATTTACATGTCAGATTTGAAGTGATGGCAATATTTGTGCTTTGTAAACGAGTCGGCTGCAGCTAATGCGGAAAACCTACCTTTTGAAAATCGGTTGAGCAAGATCGTGACTGTTCACGTTTGTCACATAGATCGATCGTAACGAGGCTGGGTTTGTTTGAGCGAAACGTAAGAGTCAGTGAATCTATCATAATTTCTTTCCGTTTCATGTAAAACAATTTTCGCAACTGTCGCTTCCGACCGGGTCATGGTCAGGGCCTACGCGAGGGTGGCAAATGGAAGTCGGTGAAACGACTTCGCCTTTGCCACTATCGTTTTACGATTTCCCACTTGATTCTACCAGCTGCGTAGGTTGTTCGATTGGAGCGCGCTTTCTTCTTCCAGACGGCGTCGTTGCTATTCCGGAATCCGGATCCAAAATGAAAGAGTTTGAAAAACTTATGTGAAATGGAAGTTTTGCCTACCTCAGGAGGGCATTAGATGGGAAATTGCCCACTTAGTTTGGAGAGAAGTCAAGCATGCTTTTCATTCACAGAAGCTTTTCTAATTTTTTATACTTTCTTCCCTAGTCCCACTGCGTTTACACACACCAAATTTTGTGCCATATCGCCATCTTCGTTGCAAACGAGCCATTTTTCCATTTTTGGTCATGGGAAATTTCCAGAAAAAAGCTTGCCACAACTTTCAATCACATAATTTTCCCATGAAACTTCTCAATTACTTTCAACAGGCTGCTCGTGTCCATGTACATATCAAGTTTTGTACCACCATATCGTTGCCTGTGCTTTGCAAACGAGCCATTTTAATTGTGCCATATCGTCATCATTCGCCAGTTATGAGAAATTTTCGAAAAAAACTTGGTACCATCCGTTCACAAAGTTTTAAAATTTTTTCTAATCTTTGTATCTTGTCCCCACTAGCCTATGTTCGTCTTTTTATGCAGTTTGGTACCATATCGTTATGCTACATCGAGAACCAGTCAGGTATGTGTTTCAATTTGCATCGGTTAAGCGATGTGTCGCGGGCGTCAGCGGCACGATTTGACGCATATTCTATGGGATGGGGGGGGGGGGCGGCGGGGGGCTCCGGTTTGTTTGTTATTCAAACTATATCCCCGGGGCTCCGCTCCGGAGCCCCAAGTGATATTCCCTTTGCTTTTTCCCCCAAAACAATTTCCACCTTGACACTTGCCCACCTTGTGCCGGGCCGTGGTCATGCTCTCCAGAGTTTCTCTTAGCGATTAAACAGTGTGCACATTTCTTGAGATACTGGCCCGTAGTAAAGCTCGATCAGTTGAGGTGAACTCAACTTAACCCATCAGTTCACCGCACGTGAGGTGAACTGATGACCACCCACCCTACCATGCTATAAGATGGTCAAGTCAACTGATAGTTGACGATCTGTCCACCTGCTGCAGTCAACTCTTCCACATCAGTTCACGTTCAAGTCACCTCAACGTGAACGGATGTTAGAGTGATCCAAATAGTGTGTAGAAGAGGAGACGCAGACAAGAGGTGACTGCATCTAACATAAGTTGCTCCTGAGTAACTTACGATACACACAACTTTGCCAAAAAATGCAGACAAAATCGGCGCAAAACTGCACAATACCGGCGCCCGAAAAGGGAAGGATCGATGAACAGCTGATTTTGGCGACAAAAGCAAGGATAAAAGTTTTCTTCTTTTTTTTTGCAGAGCAATCTTAGTTTCTTGTAAAAAACTACTTTAGAAGAGAATCTACTTATTTATTACGTTTTATTTATGTTCCAAAAATTTCAGTTTTTCATGAATTCTCCGTCAAAATATGTCAGTTTTGTTTTATCTGTACATTTGCTAAGTGATATCCTTGTTAGCGGTCATCATCGATTTTTTTCGACAGTGGCCGCTATCAAAGATTGTTCGGCGATGCAGCAAAAGTTGTGGCGCTAGCCGGTGTCGAACCACGAACGCGCGCGTGTGATTCCAATCGCTTATCCGTTTGACCAGCTCAAGTGGTTGGTTTTTTGAGAACACATGTGGTTATCATGTCTAGGAAGCGATCCACATCCAAATAAATAGCTCACTGGATGCTGGACTGAAGCGCGATGACCTCAACTCCGGTCCGCGTCGAGAGAGATGCCCGAATGGGAGGTTTACTACGGGCCACTCTGTATAAGAAACAACTGAATCACTTTCCGACAAACAAGACACACACCAACTACCAACCTTGCAAGCTGAATTCTCATGCGCGTCTACACTGTCTCGTCCCAGAAGAATTGTTTCCAGCACGCCTGAAATGTTTTGTACTACACTTTCTGCAATTTTCCTCTGAATTGCTCTTGCATACAATGTAAAGGCAATTTAGAGAAATGTCCATACATAGGTTTCAATCAATGTTACAATGTTGAAGTACTCGTTTGTCTTTTCAAATTTGTTCTCAATGTTGGGATCCTGTTCTCAAAAATATAATAAATTGCTAAACTTAGAGATTTTCATGGGTCACTGTAGCATTCTTGAACCTTACATGGTGTGCAAGATGTTATTTTAACAGGAAATCTGCTTATCACTGCATTTTTTTTTAGCAAAGCACTACTACATGCCCAAAAAACGTCAGTGATCTAAGTAAGCACTAGATCAAATTTCTGGCAGAAACTGCATCGATAAGGAGTTTACTGCAAAATAAGACTTGGTAGAATAATTAATACCTGGGCCAGTTACCATTGCTACAGAAGTGATGAAGCGCAGGGCCTGGCACCAGCTGGCACGGGGCAAGCTGGATATTGTTTTTGGGACAAAAAGCAAAGGGGATATCGTTTTTGTCGACAAATTGCGGCGTTTTTTTTTCTAGTCGACGTTTCGTTTCTTGGGGTTTTTTAGGTTTAGGGTCTAGGGTCAAGGGGGACTTCGTAAAACTTAAAAATTAAGGGGACTTCGTTCTGAAAATTCCCTGATGCCAGCTCGTGCCGAGCCCTGATAAAGTGAGATCTTAGCCAGCGTAAAAATTGAAAACAGCGGTCCTTAAGAAAGCGCAGAACTTTGCGACTCTATGAAATTTGTTAAAGACATTTGTTACTGATCCCAAATTATAGCTGCTAAATTTACGGCTACCTGTAGCTCTGCAATCGAAAATAATATAGACTTTTATTGGCGTTTAATGCTCTACCACTAATTGAAGCTCTTGCATTGCTGGCGCGCTGAAAAAAAATATGAGGCAGTCCGGAAAATAATGTCGCATCGTGTCTTATCATGCAATATCGGCAAGGTGAGCAGGAAAGTAAGGAAATGGGGTACTAACCGATAGATCAATATGAGCTCTAAAAAAGCCTTCGCGCCAGGTTTGATTTGCGTGAAGTTTGGAGCCAAATTTCATAAGACATTAAAGAACCGAAAAAACGAAAAGAATTGTATCCCCGTTCAAAAAGGTCCTGGGAACCCCTAACTTGCTCACGTATGGACTCACTATACCAGACACTCGTACGCACATTTTCGTAGTTTTTTCCCATGGCTGGGAATTGAGAAAACGATATCGGCATAATTTTGTCAAAGCAATCCTGAGCTTTTCTCAAATAGGTGATTCTGTAGTGCGAACCTTTCGGAGTCTAACCATGAATTTTCAGCATTAGACAAGCTCTAGTTTTCGAGATAAACCAAATTGTTTGTGAAAAATCCGAAAAACGCAGCATACTCGCAGTTTCGACGTGATTTTGTTTGTTGTACTGTAGCCATGGAAAAATAACACGAACTGTACAGGTGGATGTCTAATGTGGGGAGTACATGCCTGTGCAGATTGGAGTCCCTAAGACGTCTATGGACGGAGATACATTTTTCGGGTGTATGAAATTTTTATATTTTGGATTTGAACTTTAGACAGAGCAAGATTTCCGCCAATATTTGTAAACTATCTTTAGAGCTTGCTTTGCTCTATCATACGATACCCCATTCGCTGTTTTCTGTGGTCACTCTGTCGCGGTAGGATGTCATACCACATAATTTTCCGGACAACTTAATACTTTAATTTTGGATTAGAGCTGCAAATGTACTTTGAGGAATTTTGCGTAGTGCATACATCACTAACAGCACTATTCGGCGCTTGTTGTCGTGATGAAATTCTGCTTAATAACAAGGCTAAATAGAATCAGCATTTCGATGACAATGGGTTGCGTTCGAAGCAGAAAATTTTGCCCATTAAGTCACTGGAACTTACTGCAAGTGAGCAGCTTTGATTGATTTTCAAATAAAACTCACCTGATAAGCTTAGATCCGGCCCCTCATCAAACAACAAAAAGTTCGGAGACCATCATTTAGGAATGCATCCGCCTCAGCTGAGGGTAAGTTGGCAGTCAATATCATTTTATTGCATGTTCTACATGATCTAGTTCTTAAGGTAATTTTCTGGATTGGAGTACACTTCGTCCATGGTGCAACCAGTTATCTTGAAGTTGATGAAGAAAAACTAAAGGAATTCGCTCTATTTGGCATACCGCAAAAACCCACAAGCGTTGATGAAGAAAAACTAAAGGAATCGGCTTATTATGGCATATCGAAAACTAAAAATGCAAGAGAAAAATCCAAAAACTCGAGATATTCATCTCAAGACCAGAAAATTGACCAGTTAAACTCTGTCTTGGAAAAAGATGACCACGAAAAGTCGTTAAAGAAAACGCACAAGAATGAAGATCTTTCAAACTCTATCTCGAAGAATGACTATGAAAGAAGCTCTTTATATGAAAAATTGCCAAATGAGGAAGAAAACTCTGTCCTAAAAGATCATCGTGATTCTTTGAATTATACCAGAAAAGAAGGCGACTTACATGTTTTGCGGAATAACCACTCTGAAGAGTTGCAGAAGAATCCACATAAGAAAGAAGAGCATGAAGAAGCTACGAACTCTATCTCGGAAAATGACCCTGAAGATTTACCAAGGAATCCGGACAATGAGAGCGAGGTTTCAAACGCTATCCCAGGAGATGATGACAATGCAAATGACTACGAAAGGGAAAAGGAGTGGTGGAATGAATGGGCGCAGAATTACAGTGAAAAAGACGAAGGCTGGAGCATAAGAGGTCGTGGTCTGCATCTCTCCATTCTTGGTCCCCCTCTACTGCGTGGCCGCCTCCGAGATGAACTTAAATGACTTTCAACATGATCTAATAAAAATTTTAGTCACAATTTTTTACTGGAGAATTCAAAGACACGTCTCACTGTATCTCAGCGAAAACACTACCCCCTAAGTCTTCGAAGTTCCACCATTAGAATTTTGAGAGTCAAATGCAAGGAGTTGTTCACTCGAAACAAGTTTTTCAACTCAAAACACCGTAATCTGGGAAATGTTGATTTTATTCACCCATAGCGCGTATAACAACAAACTTGAAGTTTTATCGATATCTATGCGTTGCAAACTAGTCATGTCTTCATTTCTTTCCCAGTAGTGGAAAATTTTACAAAAAGTTTGTCCTTCTAATCTATGGCCGGATAACAAAATTAAAGTCGTTTCAGTATCAGTGCTGTAGAGAGTAGGTTGCTTCTAATTATAAAAAGCTTGCCTTGTTAGCAACCGGACTTCAAACATTTATGATAAGCACGTTTGTCGCATGGATCGTTCGTAACGAGGCTGGATTTGTTTGAGGAAAGCGTAGGAATTATGAGAGTAAATCTACGATACTTTTTTCCATTTCCCGAAAACGATTATCGCAACTGCCGCTTCCTACCCGGTCATGCTCTTCAGATTTTTTCTTGCAAGAAACATTATTTTATTGTTTTCTGCTAGAGACAAGACAACGCTGCCCTTACAGATTATTTTTTTCTGCGACCTTCACAGATTTTGAAACAGGAACCTTCCAACCTTCACAGACACAGAAAAGAGATGAGGGATTCACCATTAAATTAAACGAAAATTCGTGCCTCATGCAAAGCTAGTTAACTTTTCATGCCCTAGGTCTACGGGGGAGGGCCATGTCAAAAATTCTTTTTGAATGAAGGCGCGTGACGTTTTTCGTGGGTGCTTCTCAATTTTTTACGGCCCCATGATCTCTGAAATTTAGAGCCCCAGAAAAAATATTTACAAAAGTAATTTGAATTTTTGAAAAATTCTGAAAATTATTAGGTTGTCCGGAAATTAATGCCCGTTTTGAATTTCAACCGCAATAAGTCATACACTTCTCATTTCTAAATAGGTTGCAAAGTACCATTCGATAGAGCAAAGCAAGCTCTACAAGATGGCCTTCTTGCTTTTGCAACAGCTCTCACCCACCTCGAGTTTCAAGCCAAAAATTAAAAAGACTCAGCAGCCCGAAAAATCGAAAAAAATCGTAACTCAGTTCATAAAAATCCTACAAAAAATCTTACTTGCTCACGTAAACAACATCTATATACGTCTTTACCTCATTTTTTTCTCTGTTAGAAATCAAGAGAACGGAAATTTTCATGCATTTGCCAAAGTGATGCTGTGCCGTTCCCACATAAGTAGTTCTATACTACAGACCTGTAGAAGTACAAACGTAAATTCTCAGCTCTCTACAAGCTTTAGTTCTCGAGAAATTTGAATTTTAGCTTGGACCACCTAACTAGGGGAAGCTATATTCGGTACTAGTTGACTTACCCGGCTCCGCCCGGCCCTGTCATTATTATATTCGTAATCAGCATGCTCGATTACCCCCCTGTGCCAACTCCCAGCCCCGTAGCTCAAATTTTGCAAAAAATCGATAAAATCGATATCGATAGATACGAAAAGTAGCCTACGACACTCGCCGGGGCCCGAAGTGTATGTGTGCCAAGTTTGGTCCGGATCGGTTCAAAAATGGAATTTTCTATTCCGCACATACGTACAGACAGACATACAGGCCCTTAGTAAAGCTCGGTCATGGGAGATTATCTCCCCTGAGACCTTCATGTGAGCTTCTGTCAGTAAAATGACGACCCCCCATTTCCCCATGCTATAGGGATGCAACGTCACCTGAGAGGTGAGCCTCAGGTGAAGTTTGGCAGGGAGATGATCTCCCTGCCGGGTCATGGGAGATGATATGAGCGATGATGTCCAGAAATAGTGTGCTAAAGAGGAAACGCAGAGAAAATCTTCGTAAGTTGCTCCTAAGTAACTTACGATACACAGCAATTTGCCTAACACTGCGGACAAAATCGGCGCAAAATTGCACAACCGCGCCCGAAAAGAGGATCGATGGACAGCTGATTTTGGCGAGGAAGACAGAAAAAAACAAATTTTTCTCTTTTTTGTAAACTTTAGTGGTTTTTTTTTTGAAGCTGTCCAAAACGAGGACTCATTTGTTCATTTCATTGAATTTACTTGCAACCATTTCGTTTTGTCGCAAAATTTTCGTAACGAAATGTTTTTTTGATTTATCTTTGCGTTTGCTAGGCGAAATCCTTGATAGCGGTCATCATCGATTGGATAGTGACCGCTATCAAAGATTGCCCGGCGATGCAGCAAAAGCTGTGTCGCTAGGCGGAGTCGAACCACTGCCGCGCGCGTGTATCCAATGGCTTACCCATTTAACTAAATCGAATCAAGTAGCCGTTTTTTCGAGAACGCACTTGATCATAATATCCAGGAAGCGATCTGCATCCAGATCAATAGCTCGCCGGATGCTGGACTGAGGCGCCAAGATATCAACTCCGGTCCGCCCCAGGGGAGATGCCCTGACGGTAGTTTACTACGGGCCACAGACAGACAGACATTCAGCTTTATATATAAGACTAGCGACCCTACGGGTCGCTAGCAAGCGGGTAGGGCACACCATGAATAAACGCTTTTCATGCCTATAATTTTCTCAAGTTAATTTTCAGTTTATCAGTATATGTATTGCCACAATCGCTCAAAAGTAAGATTTTCAGAGATTTTTTCAATGGGAGGAAAGTGAGTCATATCGTGCTAAAATTTTGCTTTGCCCCAGTCATCGCTGTACAGCTTCCTTTTCCAGTGTCACTCTCGCACTCATGCTTACAATCTGGAGAGAAAAATCGAATTCACCCAGAGCAAAAGCTCCCAAAAGCGAGATTTTCGAGGATTTTCTCAAAATTAGGCGGAAAAGTGGATCATATCGTGCTAAAATTTTGCTTTGCCCCAGTCATCGCTGTACAGCTTCCTTTTGCAATGCCACTCTCGCACTCACGCTTACCATCTGGGGCGAAAAATCGAATTCGCCCAGGGCAAAAGCTCCCAAAAGCGAGATTTTCGAGGTTTTTCTCAAAATTAGGCGGAAAAGTGGATCACATCGTGCTAAAATTTTGCTCTGCCCTGGTCATCGCTGTACAGCTTCCTTTTGCAATGTCACTCTCGCACTCACGCTTACCATCTGGGGAGAAAAATCGAATTCACCCAGGGCAAATGCTCCCAAAAGCGAGATTTTCGAGGATTTTCTCAAAATTAGGCGGAAAAGTGGATCATATCGTGCTAAAATTTTGCTTTGCCCCAGTCATCGCTGTACAGCTTCCTTTTGCAATGTCACTCTCGCACTCACGCTTACCATCAGTAGAGAAAAATCGAATTCACCCAGAGCAAAGGCTCCCAAAAGCGAGATTTTCGAGGATTTTCTCAAAATTTGGCGGAAAAGTGGATCATATCGTGCTAAAATTTTGCTTTGCCCTAGTCATCGCTGCACAGCTTCCTTTCGCAATGTCACTCTCGCACTCATGCTCACAATCTGGAGAGAAAAATCGAATTCGCCCAGGGCAAAAGCTCCCAAAAGCGAGATTTTCGAGGATTTTCTCAAAATTTGGCGGAAAAGTGGATCATATCGTGCCAAAATTTTGCTTTCCCTAGTCATCGCTGCACAGCTTCCTTTTCCAATGTCACTCTCGCACTCATGCTTACAATCTGGAGAGAAAAATCGAATTCGCCCAGGGCAAAAGCTCCCAAAAGCGAGATTTTCGAGGATTTTCTCAAAATTAGGCGGAAAAGTGGATCATATCGTGCTAAAATTTTGCTCTGCCCTAGTCATCGCTGTACAGCTTCCTTTTGCAATGCCACTCTCGCACTCACGCTTACCATCTGGGGCGAAAAATCGAATTCACCCAGAGCAGAAGCTCCCAAAAGCGAGATTTTCGAGGATTTTCTCAAAATTAGGCGGAAAAGTGGATCATATCGTGCTAAAATTTTGCTTTGCCCTAGTCATCGCTGCACAGCTTCCTTTCGCAATGTCACTCTCGCACTCATGCTTACAATCTGGAGAGAAAAATCGAATTCACCCAGGGCAAATGCTCCCAAAAGCGAGATTTTCGAGGATTTTCTCAAAATTAGGCGGAAAAGTGGATCATATCGTGCTAAAATTTTGCTTTGCCCCAGTCATCGCTGTACAGCTTCCTTTCGCAATGTCACTCTCGCACTCATGCTTACAATCTGGAGAGAAAAATCGAATTCACCCAGAGCAAAAGCTCCCAAAAGCGAGATTTTCGAGGATTTTCTCAAAATTAGGAGGAAAAGTGGATCACATCGTGCTAAAATTTTGCTCTGCCCTGGTCATCGCTGTACAGCTTCCTTTTGCAATGTCACTCTCGCACTCACGCTTACCATCTGGGGAGAAAAATCGAATTCACCCAGGGCAAATGCTCCCAAAAGCGAGATTTTCGAGGATTTTCTCAAAATTAGGCGGAAAAGTGGATCATATCGTGCTAAAATTTTGCTTTGCCCCAGTCATCGCTGTACAGCTTCCTTTTGCAATGTCACTCTCGCACTCACGCTTACCATCAGTAGAGAAAAATCGAATTCACCCAGAGCAAAGGCTCCCAAAAGCGAGATTTTCGAGGATTTTCTCAAAATTTGGCGGAAAAGTGGATCATATCGTGCTAAAATTTTGCTTTGCCCTAGTCATCGCTGCACAGCTTCCTTTCGCAATGTCACTCTCGCACTCATGCTTACAATCTGGAGAGAAAAATCGAATTCGCCCAGGGCAAAAGCTCCCAAAAGCGAGATTTTCGAGGATTTTCTCAAAATTTGGCGGAAAAGTGGATCATATCGTGCCAAAATTTTGCTTTCCCTAGTCATCGCTGCACAGCTTCCTTTTCCAATGTCACTCTCGCACTCATGCTTACAATCTGGAGAGAAAAACCGAATTCGCCCAGGGCAAAAGCTCCCAAAAGCGAGATTTTCGAGGATTTTCTCAAAATTTGGCGGAAAAGTGG